GGCAGCTACACGGAAACGGGGAAGCCCAACCATATGTGGGTGGAGGCCCGATCTGTCTACATACAACTTAAGTCCCTTGTGGATTCCCTGAAAGTGAGCCATGACGATGACTCAGGTGGGTACTTAGATGTATATAATTGTAATTGAAAATAAACAAGAGTTCGGTAAAAAAATAGATGTATAGAAGTCTTGTTAAATTCTCTAATTTGATTTTGTTTGATACTATGCCGAACACTTAACTATTTTAAAGATACTTTTTTTTCGAATATAACACGGATAACAAATTTTGTATATAGGTCAAGAAACTGACAAATACTTATTTGATTCTTTACTCTTTAAAAAAATAAAGTAAATAAAAAAACTGGAAAAAATGGCATTTATTCCATAAAAGAGTTTAATTATTCTTTTTATCTATGAAACATTGGTACATATTTCGTATCTGAAGGATATATCTTTTCAATTTTGAAAACCCTTATATTTATTGCCTACAAAGGTATATGGAACCCATACTAAAATCTCATTCCCCTTTCCAGGTCTCAACTCGGACATATCGCTGGAGCTGGAGTCGATGGACAACACCATCTCGAGCTCGGAGCGTCACGAAGATGGCCACCTGGCCATCGAGTTCCGCCAGGGGATGCTTTCGTCGATGTCCGACGAACTGACGCGACTGCTGCTCAACCTGGACGCTGGCAACTTCAAGAAGATGCTGGACCAGACGCGCAACCTAGTGCTTGAGCAGGAGGACGAGATCAAGCGCAGCCACCAGCTCATCCAGCAGTTGGAGGCCAAGGTCACGGTGACGGATGTGGAGCTGCAGAATGTGAAGGAGGAGCGCGATCAGGCACGGGGAGATCTCGAGGACAACACGGATCGGGATGAGTTGCTGTCCAAGGCGCAGACGGAGCGGGATGCGGCCAACGACAGGCGCACCAAAGCGGAGGTGGAGCTGGCCAAGACGCGGGTAGAGTTGATGCAGGCCAACAGCCAGCTGCTGGAGTCGATTCAGCAGAAGGTTGAGCTGTCGCAGCAGCTGGAGCAGTGGCAGATGGACATGCACGAGCTGATCGACGAGCAGATGCGCTCCAAGCTGATCAACAACCGGCGGGCCATGGCCGCCGAATCATCCGCCCCATCGCCGCCCAGCAGTGCCGCCGCCAATCTGGCCAAGCGGGTGACCAGTTACAAGCTGTGGAGCTTATTTCAGCGGTAATTGGACGAACCTCACGACTCGCTGGAAGGTCTACGCCACCCTCCTGTTCTTGATGTAGAACGGATCTATATATATTTGTAGTATTTATATTTAAACACAACCAACAACCACACACAAAGCGGAGAGCCTAGGCATAGGTATATTGTACTTAATTGTTATTTGTATACTGGAAGCATCGCCCTTCTTCTGTTCGTAGTGAAATCTATCTAATTACGCTTTATTAATTTTAAACACATACCGCATATTCGATATGATTATTGTACCTATTGTAATTACTGTAATTGTAACCGTACTCGTACCTATGTTTAAACACAAATCGTCTAAGCAAACGTTTTGGCCCTCTATCTCTCTATTTTAGTTTGTCCAGAATTGTTCGTAAACCCCTATATGGACCCCACAAGTAACCCTCAAACTGTTGAGAAACCCTACGCTTTTATAATAGACCCTTGGAGTTACTTGTTGGGTTCGTTTAGGTCTAAACTGTTAACTGATAATCAAAAACAAAAAAATGAAAACATATCGCGCCTTTATGTTGGGGGCTTGAAAAGCCTCCTCTTCTCGGGAGAAACTGTTGCGATTCATCAAAATCAAAGTGAAATGAAAATGAAAATCAAAATCTGTACGTAAGCAAATATAATGTGTAAGCAAGGCATTTATGTTATAGCAAGTAGAAATATTCATCATGCTGGCAATCGGAAGGAGCGCAGGAAATGTTGAAAACTGTGCAACAGACAAAACTTGCCTTAATGAACGGACAATGAAATTTTAGATTGTTTAAATAACATAACTTACCAATAAACTTACGAATACACCACAATCCGTGATTTTTAATAGCTACAGTGATACTAAAATTATTAATATTTAATAATCAATTCAAACAGATTCTTAGGCTTATTTATAACAAATACTTTCTAAAACTTATAGTAAGTTAATGTTATTATTGCAATTTTTTCTATGAATTTAAGTTGCTTTGAACATGATAGGGTAGCTTGATATTTTGAAGTTTGATTGCACAAAATTAACTTTTATTTTTTTTGGTTATGCACTCTTGCGTGTCTTTTGTAGCTTTTTTGAGAGAAAAATCCTTCTGGACAATGCGGGCATTGGTGGGGCCGAATCTTGTGACTACTAATGTGCTTGTCCAGGGTCTTCTTCAGCGCAAACTTGACGTCGCAGTGCGGGCATTTGAGCAGCTCTGGCGGTTCTTTCGGCAACCTGTGCGCCTTGCCGTGGCCTCGTAAACTTTGCAGAGTGTCAAAAGCTTTGGGACACTGAGGGCATTTGAACGGCCGATCCTTGACTTCCACATGCCAAAGAATGTGCTTCGCCAGAGACTGATTCGCACAGAAACCCTTGCCGCACTGGTCGCACTTGTAGGGCTTCTCTCCGGTGTGGATGCGTAGGTGACTCTTCAGGTGATGGTTGTGCGAGAAGGCGGCACCGCACTCCTCGCATTTGAAAGGCTTCTCGCCCGAGTGCGTTCGGTGATGCTTCTTCATGTTGGATTTCTCGAAGAACGACTTGTCGCACTCGGGACACTTGAATGGGCGATCCTCGTTGTGGACCCGCAGGTGGGTGACCAGATGCTGGCTCTGGACAAATCCCTTGCCGCAGAGCTCGCACTTAAAGGGCCGGTCCTCCTTGTGCAGCCGACTGTGCAACTTAAGGCCTGAGTTCTTGGTGAAGGACCGTGAACAAATTGTACACTTATATGGTCGCTCGCCCGTGTGCCACTGCTGATGGGCCCTCAGGTTTGAACTCGTATAAAAGCTCTTATCGCACTGCGGGCACTTGAAAGCCTTGTTCTCGTCGTGGGTCAGCATGTGCGTCTTGAGAGTCGGCCCGTGAGTATACGCCTTCGGGCAGTGGGGGCACTGAAAAGGACGATCTCCGGTGTGCCTACGCCTGTGGACTGTCAACTGGGCATTAGTTCGGAATCCCCTGCCGCAGAAGTCGCACAGGTGCAGCTTTTTTGGATCCTCCTGCTCCTTGTGCCGGGCAATGTGGCTCGCCAGTGACTTGTGCGTCTTGCAGGTCAGGCCACACTCGGTGCAAAGCAGTGATTGATTCCCTTTGGCAACCTTTTTGGAGTCCAAATCACCGGGTACCCAGGGTTCTTCTTGGTCGTCCGTCCAGCCACCTGACCATTCATCTGAATCGTCTTCACTTTCATTTTCAACATCATCATCATCATCATCATCGTCTTGTTGAAAGGCATCCTCGAATGTCTCACCGTTGGAGATCTCTTCCTCTGTTTTTATGTTTTCACTTAGTGTTACTGAAAGATAAGAGTATAAAATTACTCTTTTAATTGTAAACATTTCTAATAAACATACTTTCAAAAACTTCTTGCAATGGTGGACTATCCGGTCCTTTATTTGGCAGTCCCTCTGTCAATTCGGAATCGTTATCCGTTTTTACTTCAAGTCGATCCTGCTCCTTTCCTGTATCTGTCATTACATTTGTGTCCAGTGGATCCTCACAGCCTACCATCTCGAAGGCTAATGAGCGACTCTTCTCCCCTCTCCTGCCACGAGTTTTCGAGCCGGATTTTTCCAGGAGGAGCAGGTGGGAAAAGTACTGGAAACTCTGCTCGCACTTGTGCTTGAAGTGGTAGGCATTTTGGGCGGCCACCAAGCAGGAGGGGCAGATCTTCTGAGGCAGTGCATCCCGATTGACGCGGCAGTTCTCGGTCAGAATGGAGTTTAGCATATCCCAAATTGGGGGATCAGAGATCTCCGTTGAGAAGAGGTCCACCAGTATCGTCGAGTGTCCGGCGCAGGCGCGGCAGTTCTTCTCCATGTTGGTGTCCGCTGATCCATCCATATTTTATGGGGATATTCCAACCAATCAGGGCCGGAATTTCAAAAAGTCCGAGAAATGGTGGGCACTTTCCTGCCAAAAAGTGAATGTGAACGTATTCAAACAGGGTTGTCAAATGCTTGCACTTATTGGCCGATAGTTGACATCGCTATACATCGCATCTCTAGTCACAGCGTGAGAAAAACTGTGACTGTGAACAGTTTAGCGGCATTTAAAAACGTGATCCATTTTAATCTGAGGAGGTAATACTTTTTAAATAAATAAGAAGCAGTTTTAGCAGTTTTAAACATATATGCATGTTTTAATGGTTTACATGGTTTTATGTCATTATATCTCATCCTACGGTTTTTTGCAAACGAAATATTTAATAATAATACTTACAACAGTTCTTACCTAGCTAAATCCTACAAAGCGAACATTTAGTTAATTTAATTTTGCTGTGCACTATTCACCATCTGCAATTGCTTACTTTATTTTTTTTTTAAGCTTTCATAGTCACGACAGTGACTCATAGCGTAAAAATAATCGTGACTCGTCACGAACTCACCGATATCGCTCATCTCTATCAGCTTTGAGCAAAATTAGTATCTTGTACTGGTGGTCAAACAGACAAGCGAGCGAAGACCTTTTTGTTGTCGTTTCTCGCAATGATTTAGGTCTTCATAAAGTGTATTAAGCTAAGCGTAAAGTTTCGCATTACCCATCGCTGGACATGGATATCCTGGACATCGATGAGGCACTTAAGGATGATTCATATATGTGAGTGATGCACTCCTGTTGTTTCTCTTGTTGTTGCTGTAACAGCGATGCTATAAATAATCATATTGCCTGGTATTCCCTGGCAGATTTCTGGCGGATAAGACCCACGACGATGTGTCCAACATTTTGCAGCAGTGGAAGACGAACAATCAGCCGCCGTTGCCGTTGCAACAATTGCACTTGCAGTACAACAACGAGGGTAAGCCTTTCCACGCATACCGATGCACCCACCCCCACACTATCACACACACAAACACACTCATGCAGCAATGTGCATTTGCACTTTCTAAAACAAATTTGGGTTAAACTGGCGGCTACGTTGACAAAGTTCGGGTCGCATGTGGGCAGTATTACTTGCCCAGTAAAATATACCGTTGACTTTCAAGTGGCCGTTTGCCATAATTGGCAGCAGCGCCAATGTTATTGTTACGGTAATTAATCAAGCCTTAAAGGCACACACACACTCACGCTCTCGTTTCAAACAGCTGTGCGTGGTATGAAAAAAAACAGGCTATGCTAATATGGCAAGAATCTCGCATAATATGCCGACAATATATAAATTCAGTTTACTTCCTGCCCAGGCAGCGAAAGTCAATCAAGCAATACGCAAAACACTTTAAATACAACAATTATCGAATCGCCGACGAGGATCAAAAATCGATTCCGTGATTTAATGCGTGCAAAATGCTGTCATGCTGAGCTCTTTTTTAATGATTTTTCGAAAAGGAATTGTTGTAACAACAGTAAGCGAAATAAATACAAATCAAGCGATGATGAATTTATATATAAAACTAATATTTATCACCATATTTTTCATTTTAAGTTGGCGTTTTTTTGTTTTTAAAAGGGAAGACAAACTCAGATCGATAAAACTTAAATACCCGCTTAATATTTTTGTTATTGCTAAATAGTTAATAGGTTAGTGCAACAATAAATGGCCAATAAATAGATTACCGTTGTCTATGAAATATTAGTATTTAAAATAAAAACTCATGACTATAACTGGAAAATCACCGATGCTAAACGCACCCAGTGCTTTTGAACTAGCGGTGACAGTGCTGAAAAAATCCACCTGCCAAAGCATCCTGCTGCCGCTTACCAACACCGGAAGAACGGTAAATTTCTTGACAGTTCGTTGCAAGTTTTCTACTGCGAAGTTTATTTTTGTAAAAGAATTTCTGTTTCTTATAATTGAGTGAATCCACCGCGATGCGTATCCTGGGCAGCTCCAAATCCTGTGCAGCGGGCAACCGACTGAGCGTGACCTTCAAGGCGCACCCCAATTCCCAACCGCAACTGAACGATCTGCGAAAGAACCTTAATGACAAAAGCCGATTTCGCGAGTATGTGAAAAATATTATCGGAAACGAGGAGCAAATGGGCTCCGTGCTGGACACGATCTCGTCCACACAAGAGGAGGAACGCCTGGCCACCGTCACTGGCTGGTCCACGGTGAACATCGCGAACTGCGCAGGCGTGTCCAACTCTTCAATTTATCTGGCGCTCAAATGGGTGCTGATGCCCATAAAGGTGGAGATATTCAATTTCAAGCGCAGCGGACCGGAGGACAAGATGGCACGTGGTCAGTTCCTGGTGGACAACCTGCTGAGTGCCAATCGCCTGAAACGCCTGCAACAGGAAGTGGCCGTTCTCTACACTTGCCAAAAGATTGAGGTGTCTGTCACACCGGGTCTGCCCAAATCCGTCATGAACGCGCAGATACTCGAGGGATTTTCGACTGCCGTGGAGACGGCTATCAAAGCGAGCTATGAGCTGGCCACCCGTACCCTAGATCTCTCTCGATTCCACGCTTGTCCGGAACTGGGCAAGATCTTCTGTCCACTGCATGTGGTCCATCTGCTGCAGAGCGTGCTTGCTCTTTCGAGCCAGATATTTCCCCAAATGGCAGGCATCGTGCTAAGCAACAACTATTTGTGCTCACTGAAGGCCTTTGCCGGAGTTTCGCATAGTCTTGCCAACCTGGAGCGCTTGGATATAAGCGCAAATCGAATCAAGGATTTGGGCGAACTGAACTACCTGGGAAATTTGAAATTGAAGACCCTGTTCGTGGCTGGAAACGGTCTGGCCAAGCTAAAGTTGGAAGACATTCAAGAAGTGCTGCCACAGCTGCAGAATGTCCATGGCTGTGTGTACTCCGAGGAGAAGGAAGAGGTTATTGCTAATCTTCCTGTGTACCAACGACTTCAAGACGGTGGAACTAAGGGCATGCAGCTCTGCATTCACTTTATTAGTTCCTTTTACAATAGCTTTGACGAACCCGAAAAGCGCTCGCAACTTAAGGATTACTATCATGAACAGGCCATGTTTTCACTTAGCCTGCCCGTACATTTGGATCATGTGTACGCCTACAAACTCTACAATAGAAACCAAAGGCGCCAGCAATCCTCCTTTGCGCACAATGCCAAACTACAGGTTGGCAGCGCTTCACTGCTCCTCGCCCTTAGTCGCTTGCCCCTGTTGCAAACGGACCACCAGAACGCCAGTCTGGACATACACGTGTTCAACGCGAATTTGCGCATCTTCACGCTGTCTGGATACTTTAAGGAGATCACCTCCGACGGCTGGGAACGCAGACACTTTCAGCGCACCTTTGTCCAACGTCTGATTAACAGTCCAGGCTGGCTGATAACCAACGACATGCTGTGCATAACTTCCATTAAGTCCGAGCAAAAAGAACCCGTCAAATTTCAACCGAATACTGATACGTCGGTAAAGAAACCCATATGCCGTCAACTAATTACCGATGAGTCGGTAACAAAAACCGTAGACCCAGTTAAGGTTAAGGGACTGGTCATCAAAACAAAGCCTCAAAAAAAAGTGCCACCAGTTGTGCGCCATTCAGTAGAGGTAGATCCTCTAAACCAGGCTATTCAGAATATTAGCTTGATGGACGCCAAGATGGACCTTCTTCCCGATGAAAGTTTCGATGAAATGCCACCCCTAGTTGCCATCGGTCCATTAAATACCAATCAAGCCGATTTATTGGACCAGGCGATCGAGGATACTCTGATGACTGATGAGGATGCCTTTGATCTGGTCATTGATGAGGATGTCCTTATCGGAGACGATGATTTATAAACAATTAAACCCAATAACCAAATAGCACTAAGAAATGATGCACAAATAGGTTAAGACATTATTAATTAATAAGTTTCTTGAGTATGAAACTCCAAATTCTAATTTCTATTCAACTTTTTCTTTACGAAAGCCTTCAAACACAATTCGAAGACCTTCACCCGCCCCAAGCGTCGGAATCTCGATTTCGTAAGTACAATTCAACAATTTAAAATGGTTAACCATTATAATCCACATCCTAACTTTTACAGAGCCAAAATGGAGCAGGAAACGACAGTGCAGTCGGCACCGGAGCAGTATCGGGTACCCCGGCGATGCTCCAGCTCGAAATTGGCGGTCTGGTCACCACGAAAATGCACAACTCCTTCCTCCAGGACACCTCGCCGCCGTCTTCCATATGCTCCTCCATGAACACGGAACGGATGAACAACTCGTTGATAACCTCGGCGGACTTCACGAACCTAAACTTTCTTCAATCCACAATTGGTCTGGAGCAGGATCCGAGTCTAACCACCACGCTGACCAACCAAACGACGGACAACATGGGAATTGGCGGAGGATTGGGTGGCTATACGCTCAGCGATATGATCCGGGATCGCAAGGCGCTGGAGTCGCTGACCCTGTGCGAGGATGATGGCACACTGATCAAAGACTCGCACATCGGTCAGATCGACGAGATATCGCTGACGCTGAGCAAAACCGCCTCCGGCTGCAGCACTATGGACAACAGCACAGACAGCATGTCCATACCTTTGGCCGCGGAGCGAACAGTGCCCGCCGTGATGCCCGTAGTTTGCCCTGCCCTGCAGCGAACCATGATTCTGGGCGAGGAGATGATTGGCGACACTACCTTTAACCTGGTGGATAGCTTAACAACTTCCGTCCTGCAATCAGAGTCCGAGTCCCTGCCGGTGGATGGAAACACGACCTTTAAGAGGCCCAATGCGGGTATAGCTGCAGCGGATGAGACCCAGTTGGTGGCAGGTCGCCAGATGAACACCACCTTTACCGACACCGGCTGCAACACTCCAGAGGGCCGCTGCGAAACTCCTGAGAATATCGACCGAAAGTTGGCCGTGCTCACCATGGAATCTTCCACGCCACTGACCACAAACATTCGCTCACATTGCTATCACAACAATAACAATAATAATAATAACAAACAGGGATACACGCCCACACTGAAGGGACGTGGAGACATGAACCTGTCCCCGATTGTGGGCGCTACGCCGCAGAAACCAACTGGAGCAGCACCAGGACGACTGAACAACACCTTCGAGCCCGCGACCAAAACAGCTCCATTCAATGGGGAGAAGTTCGTGCTGGACACCATGGAGCTGTTGGAGCAGATCGAACAGCCGCTGGATGGCACCTACAGCCTGCAAATGTCCGAACAGCACAAGCAGATGCAGTGCGTCATGGACCTGGCCGAGGCGGAGGTGGAGATGTTGGCTCAGCAGGGCGACGAGGAGCAATTCGAGCATATGCTTGCCGAGCTGGGAAAGGTCAACACGCTGAACAAGGACCAACTGAAGATGCAAAAGTCGCTGGAAACCATCAAGCGGCGTTTCCACAGGGATGAGCCGGAGCCCGAGGAACGGGAAGAGGAGCAGCAAGCCCAACAGCCTGCAAACGAAAAGGTGGATACTCCGGTGCTCAACCAAAGCCACTCTAGCAGCAACAGCAGCGGTGGTGGTGGTGGCAATGGCAGTGGCAGTGGCGAACGGCTACTCAGTCGTCGGAGTCGTCTCTACGATGATGTCAACCTGAGCGCCATGCACGCCAGCAATGCAAGCTCGGCCAGCGCCAACTCGGCCTCGTTCATTGTCCAGCGAAGAGATGGGCCCCAGGTGGAACAGTCGGTACCCGAACCGGATCCCGAACCAGCGGAGGAGCCTCCAAAGTCCCAGATGACCGCAGAGACTGACCCGTCCAGCTACAAGCTGCCGGAGAGAAGGGAGCGGGATCGAGATCGTTTCAAGACCATTAAGATTTCGAAGGAGATGCGCCTGCAGCAGGAGATAATTGTGCCTTGTATAGACGATGAGCCGCAGCAGTTGGAGGAGGTGGTTCAGTTGGAGCAGGAGGAGGAGCAGTCGCAGCGGCAGGGTTCCCCACCAGGTCGCCTGTCTCGTCGAGATCAAAATACCGTATTCAACAACAACAACAAGGCAGAGAGTAGTGCAAGTAACTATTTGACCTACAAAAAGCCCAAGGAGAAGAGCCTCCTCCAACGACGACCGCTGCAGCAGGAAGCTCCTCCGCCAGCAGAGCCCACGCCCGCGCCCGCATCCACTCTTCCCCAGCCCCGCTCCCTCTCCCGTCCTCGCTACATCAGTGGTCTGCAGAAGTTTACGACGGTGAGCAAGGCCACATCCGCCGGAGCCGGTCTGAATGCCACTCCAGCCGCCTCGGTGCCAGCCACTGTCACAGTGCCAGCAACCGCAGGCGGCGAGCTGAAGAGTCCCATGGGCATCAAGTCCAAATCGTTCCACAATTTGTCCTCCACGATGAGTGGAGGCATTGGTGCTGGAACCCTTCCAAGACCCAGCTTGGGTGGTGGTGGACTGCGTCGACCCGGCGCGCAACCAAGCAAGCTGATGGGCGGATTGCGGGGACCAACGCAAGCCCAGGAGGTGAGTTCTTATTAGATTACATATAACCCTCTCTATTTAATAAATTTTTGTCCCTTTTTAGGATGACTCTGCTGTATTTAAAGTGCCCAAATTGGTCAGCGGACTGCGAGCACCTGGTCTAGCTGGTGGGAAACGAGTTGGAACCAATGGACTTGCTCGTCCTTCGTCTGGGTATTACAGCCTGAGTGTTAAAACTGCTACAGAGGCAGAAACTCCAGAGGTTGGTCCAGAGAACTATAATTATTTTATTTATATACGATTTAAAACTAAAAGCCAAAAACCATTTTGTTTAATCATTTTTGTTTTGTCAATCTCAAATAATATAAGGTGTTATGAACTATGTTATCAATCCTGCTATCCACATCGTTATCTATTCCAGAGCCTCTCCTCAGCCTCCTCGCGTGGTAGCCTCTATGGCCACAAGGACTCCGGTAGGCCGGTAAATGGCGGCAATGTTCCTCAGCAGAGCTTCGACATGCAGGCGCTGACCTCGAAACTGACCCATGTGACCACGGGATCCACTGGCATTCCCAAGCCCTCGGGTTTGCGACCACCTTCGCAAATGAAGCGCAGCGGCCTTCCACGGCCGTCCAGCATTGTTAGGCGCTGATATCCCATCACTTTCTCCGCCGCCGATTGCATATGTCACAGCTCCGCCTGAAAAGGATTTCCATGTTATCCCTAAAATAGTCTGTCCCATTTTTGTACTTTGTGTTTAGTTCTCTTTTGTGTTTACCATGCCCGCAAACAAGCTCCACTTGCCTAGTGACTTGGCTACACTAGCAATTACGTTTATGAATTAAACTTACGAAAAATTATGCATTTAGTTGAACAATACGAAAACAGAGAACTTGGCGACTTGTAAAACAATTAGACACTTATAGAAACCCCCTCTTGCAGTTATACATATATATATATAGAACAAATACATAAACACGAACTTTGCCTTACGAATCATAATAGAGCGAACGATTGAGGGTTTGAGAAGGAAAGATATAAGCGAGAAATGATAATAGCTGTATATTTTTGTAAAACCAATGCGAAAATTCTACGAACGTTATTTTTTGTGGATGCATAGAGTGCTGCGGCAAATCAAGCAGGCAATTCGAATAAATAATAATAATTAACAAAAACATACAATAAGATCTGCTCAGTGGCCACGAAACCACAAAAAAATAATAAAGAACGAAAGAAACCAAACTAAAATTGATAGTAACTAATAAGAGTATTGAGAAAAGTGTTAAAAATCGAACTTACAATATTATCTAATATTATCGCATATATATACAAATACAAAAAACAAAAAAAAAAACTATAGCAATATACATTGTTTCATCAGAAACATATGACCGGTTTATTTTGTGCTATTACTAGCTCCGAATCGAAAACTATCGAAAATTATACTCGTAATTTTATGAGGTGCAGAGTATATTACTATTCCCTTTGTATCCTAAAGAAATATACCTACTTTTGCCCTACCTATGTGCTATATACATAATACTTAAATTCTTGTAAAGCATCCGAAAACATTCTGTTTTTAGCTACTTTTGTGTTGCCAAATTGAAAAATGAAACTAATCTTTTGTTAGTTATCAATGAACAATTTCTTAATAAAACTATGTATGAACCTAAAAATCTTCAATCAATTGAAGCTCCACATATGCATATCCTAAGTTAAGTTTAGTCCGCATTGTTTAACCCTAGTGTAGTATTAGTTTAATCTGTAAAGGCCCTCTTGCAGGGTCAAGTATTGTTCCACCCTCATCAATCGACTAATATTCATCCAAGTAACCCAAACCAAGCCTCTACTTTGTATCCTAGCGCTAACCCATTAAGCTTTAACCCAATTAGGTGATGATTTGCATGAATCGAATTTAGTTAGCCACTAAGATTAGTATGGACTATTATTTTTGCTAACGCTTTCGTACGAGCCTTATAACGCAGCGGTTGAGATCGGTGTGGTTTTCCCCCCAAAGTATCAAGTTAAGAATGAAACCGTTCCAGCAAGTCTCTTTTTTGACCAAGCCAGACATTCAAATAAAAACCACGAGATTTGTGCTAAAAAAAAAAAATTCAAACTTTCTTTTTATTTGACTTTCCTATCCGTAGAACTTGCACAGGCCCCATTTGCAATTCCTCACGCTATTCGCGTTGGAGCGACACCAGTTGTTCTTCCAGGAGCAGTAGACCACCTGCACCACGACAGGAGGTGCTGCTGTGGTGGTGGTGGCTAATGGCGAAACTGTGGTGGTTAATGGCGATACCGTGGTGGTTAATGACGGAACCGTGGGGGTAGATGCAGGGGCTGCTGGCACCACATAGATAACACGCTTCACCTTAAATGCCGAAGTCGATGAAGCCTGGATGAGGACGAGAGCAGCCAGAGCACAGATCACAAAGTATTTCATTGCTGCTTTTGTCTTGGTGGGTCAACTACAAAAGATTTAATGATTAAAACGGATTCGGTTGGGATATTTATATCATTCATGTAAGTTTTAAGTTGTATGCCAACAAACAGAGCTACAAAACATCTGCTTGCAAGGTCAAAACGCTTCTGGTGTATGGTATCTGATAAAGAATAATAAATACCATAAATTACAATTTCAGATTAGTTCTTAGATCAATGAAAAGCCTGTTTCGTTTACCTTACCTTGACATTGACTGGCATATTTGCTATTTAAAATTGATATTTAGGCAGTTGTTTTGAAACTATATAAATTGGTTTCAAACAAGTTGGTTACATTTTTAAGCCATTGCAGAGCGTATTATGATTTCAGTCAAAAGTCACCAGGCACCCTTTGCCAGCCATGAAAACACTTAGGTACATTTTTTATTCAATTTGCTATTACAGTCGAACTTGATAGCTTGATATTCTGAATCTCAAAAAATAGCGGGATTATGATGAAAGTTGCAGGTATCAATTTAATATTCAGAGGTCCCCAAACACGCATAATTTTTAGCATATTATTTAGGTCACTTGCTTTCCCTCTCTATTGAATCATATCCATTCGCAATTTGTTGAAAACGATTATCACTTCTCATCAATTTGTTTTTCTGTGTACGTGTACTGCCATCCACTGTGATTTCTATATTTTGTTTTTCTGTTTAGCCATTTTCTTTGGTCTTGAGTACCATGGCTTAGGAGATTAATTTTGTATAATAAATCACTTTATTTTCGTTTGTGGGCTGTGACGTAGTTCATGACAACGACTCTCACTATCAAAGATCAGGTTCTATAATTGTTACTAGATGTAGTACAAGAAACTGCCAGGTGAGTGATCTTAATCGATCCCCGAACCATATAGTACATTCAATGAGCACCGATGTTATGTTGCCAGAGCATCGTCGATGATCGAACGATTTTGGCAAGGGATCGGTTGTCGCAACATTCGGCCTGCCAGTTGTCTGCTGGCAGTCGTGGCGCGTGCATCATCCTGCAATCTTCTGAAGCGATCGATATAGTTGGGTAACCATATAAGCCCAAGAAATCAGGGTCGAGGTCAAAGTCGCAAATCGAGGACATATTGGTTTTCATCGTGGCAACGTGAGGACAAACGGAAGACGCTGTGGAGCTGCAAAAAGAGAAGGCGCTCGAATTCTTCCGAGTCCTGACCTTCGTGCTGCTGTTCCTGATCATCTCCCTCTATCTATATCGTTTCGCGTTCTAGAGGACCAGAGCTGACTGCCTGGGCGCAGCGATTTGGGTAAGGATCCAATCCGTTGTGTAATCAACACAAAAAAATGGGGAGACTGTGATTTTAATTTCATTTTCGATTCCCATTCCCATTCGTCTCGCCTCGCCTCGTTCTCGATCTCGATCTTTCTGTGTCTGATCTGTGGGACCTTGACGTGGTGGTGGGGTGTCTAATTAAAGCCGCAGCCGAGATGCCCAAATTACCAGCGGTTGGCATTGATCTTGGTACCACGTACTCGTGTGTCGGCGTCTTTCAGCATGGCAAGGTGGAGATCATCGCCAACGACCAGGGCAACCGGACCACGCCCAGCTATGTGGCGTTCACGGAGTCGGAGCGTCTGATCGGCGATGCGGCCAAGAACCAGGTGGCCATGAATCCCAACAACACGATCTTCGGTGAGTCTCTCTACTGTCTACTGTCCACTGTCCTTGCCACACATAATCGCTAGCGAAATCTTTGCCTGGGGGTTCGTGAAAAATCTAGTTTAATTACTGGCAACATTTTCATGAATGAACTATGGCGCACATTTTTTGTTTATTATCTCGCTTTCGATTTATTTTAAGAAAATGCTCACTTTGCTGGCGCCAAAATGCAGTCACACATTTTCCTCCCAATGCAAGAGAGTCTTCCCTCCCACTGCAGCCTCCATCCACATCCACATCCACTCCTTCTGCATATTTTTCCCCAACCATTTGGTCTAGTGACACCTCCACTTGTTGTGTCAGTTCTTTCGGCCCGCTTTTCCGTGCCAACAAAAACTTTTCGCATGTTTATTGGCAACATTTGTGTTGGCCAAATAAATTGAAAATAAGTCTCAGTGCAAGTTGTTATGAATTGTCCGAAGCGTTTGCTTTCGCATAAATATTTATATATATTTATATTGGCTGTGGAATGTCCCAAATATTTGTCGAGTATGTTTTCTAAAAATCGAAGCTTCGAATGGAATAATACAACAAATAAGGGGAAAGCCAAATAAGCTGTAATGATTTACAAATATCTTTAGCATTTCGAATAAATCGTAGCTTTCCATTCGTGTATTTAAAAGAGTTCAATCTAAACGGAAAGGTTTTTTTAGAGAAAAGTTTAAAAAATTGTTGCTTGGAGTCATTTGTTTTAGATTGCTTTAAGTAATTAAGTTAAACTATTTTGACTAATTCAGGTGTTTCACTTAAATTTTAATTTTATACACCGAAAAGTAAATCTTGGCTTTGCTAAAAAATTTTTTTTAGATGTTATTTATATCCTTAAAACTTCTGAATACTCTAGAAAATTGGTGATACCTTTAAAATTGATTTAGAAATATTGAGTTAACAAATTTCGAGTGATAAGAGTTTATTGCTTATATTTACTTTCTTAGATTTTAATAGGTGTAATACATATATATGCATTTTTATACTAGCAAGTATTCATAGTTTTAAAATTTTTGCTTAATGGGTTTTTTTTTAAATATCTACATATCACAAAAAATAATAGTTATAAACAGCAACAAGTTGGGATCTCTGTAAATAGTTAATCAGCATCAGTCTTCAGTCCCTTCGTTTGAAATACATTTCCATGCTGCCATCCTAGAGATTTGCTGAGCAGATCTAATGCGAGTTCTCTTTCTTGTACTTTCATTTCAGTGTCAGGGTGCGCATAGAAATCCGCGTAGAAAGCCTAGTCCTGCCCAGACACATTGCAATTAAAGTCCAATAAACACCAGACTCGACACCACCACATGCCCTCTATACCACCACCACCACCACCACCACCCCCTGAATGTTAGCTAATAAAGCGAATCTGTTGTCCAAGTGCGCTGATGTTGTTGTTTCATTGCATTCTGACCGAGTGTGATTCCGACTCTGACTTGCAGATGCCAAGCGGCTGATTGGCCGCCGTTTCGACGATGCCACCGTCCAGTCGGACATGAAGCACTGGCCCTTCGAGGTGGTGGCCGAGAACGGGAAGCCCCGCATCCGGGTGGAGTACAAGGGCGAACGGAAGAGCTTCTATCCGGAGGAGGTGTCCTCGATGGTGCTGACCAAAATGCGTGAGACGGCGGAGGCCTATTTGGGTGGCACTGTCACGGATGCGGTGGTCACGGTGCCGGCCTATTTCAATGACTCCCAGCGCCAGGCCACCAAGGATGCGGGCGCCATTGCGGGCTTGAATGTCCTGCGGATCATCAATGAGCCCACGGCGGCGGCCATTGCCTATGGATTGGACAAAAAGGGCACCAGCGAACGGAATGTCCTGATCTTCGATCTCGGCGGTGGCACCTTTGACGTATCCGTGCTCACCATAGAGGATGGCATCTTTGAGGTGAAAGCCACGGCTGGGGATACCCATCTGGGTGGCGAGGACTTTGACAACCGACTGGTGAACCACTTTGTGCAGGAGTTCCAGCGCAAGCACAAACGGGATCTGGGCCAAAATAAGCGAGCCTTGAGGCGTCTGCGTACCGCTTGTGAGCGGGCCAAGCGGACCCTCTCCTCGTCCACCCAGGCCAGCATCGAGATCGATTCGCTGTTCGAGGGCGTGGACTTCTATACGGCAGTGACACGGGCCCGTTTCGAGGAGTTAAACGGGGATCTGTTCCGGGGCACCATGGAACCGGTGGCCAAAGCACTGCGCGATGCCAAGATGGACAAGGGTCAGATCCACGACATCGTGCTGGTGGGTGGCTCGACCAGGATACCCAAGGTGCAGCGTCTGCTGCAGGACTTCTTCAATGGCAAGGAGCTGAACAAGTCCATCAATCCCGATGAGGCGGTGGCCTACGGTGCCGCTGTGCAGGCGGCCATCCTTCATGGCGACAAATCGGAGGCAGTGCAGGATCTCCTCCTGCTGGATGTGACTCCGCTCTCCCTGGGAATCGAGACGGCCGGTGGGGTGATGACCACGCTGATCAAGAGGAACACCACCATACCGACCAAGCAGACACAGATCTTCACCACGTATGCCGATAACCAGCCGGGAGTGCTCATCCAGGTGTACGAAGGTGAACGGGCGATGACGCGGGATAACAACAGTTTGGGGAAATTCGAACTGTCGGCCATTCCGCCGGCTCCGCGTGGAGTGCCCCAGGTGGAGGTGACCTTCGACATCGACGCCAATGGCATACTCAATGTGACGGCGTTGGAGAAGTCGACGGGCAAGGAGAACCGCATCACCATCACCAACGACAAGGGTCGTCTCTCCAAGGAGGACATCGAGCGGATGGTCAACGATGCGGAGGCGTACCGCCAGGCGGACGAGCAGCAGCGCGACCGCATCAATGCCAAGAACCAGCTGGAGTCCTACTGCTTCCACCTGCGATCCACCCTGGACGATGAGCAGCTCAGCAGCCGCTTCAGTCCCGCGGATCGGGAGACCATCCAGCAGCGATCCAGCGAGACCATCGCCTGGCTGGATGCCAATCAGCTGGCCGAGCGGCAGGAGTTCGAGCACAAGCAGCAGGAGCTGGAGAGGATCTGCAGCCCCATCATCACGAGGTTGTATCAGGGCGCAGGGATGGCACCACCACCGCATCCAACCGGAAACTCCAGTTCGGGACCTTCTGGTGGCTCTGGACCCACCATCGAGGAGGTGGATTAATGGCTTGGGAACGAAGTGGATCACTTTTTGTTCGGTTTCACTTCAAGTGATTTGAAAATTAATTGTTATCACTAGAAATTCAAAAACTATCCAAATTTTTAGAAATTTATTTTTAATCTTTTTTAGCTTAAATAAAATTTTCTTGTGAGTTTCGCCTATGAGTCATTCACTTACAGCTGCGGTCATGAAAATAGTAGTTTTTTACCTTATGGAAATATAAAACAAAAAGAGTTTTGAAACAATTTTAGGTTTTTTTTTTATATTTTCATAAAGCTAATAAAGAAAAATTTTCCATTTCCTTTATCAAAACTAAAACTTCCTGAATGACAAAAAAGGAAATATAATATTTTTATTAATATTATAATTTGAAATATTTCGATTTCAATTTGTATGTTTTGAAAGCCAATGTTTGAAGTAAGTTTTATCTGAAATATTTAAAAAAATCCATTAAGATCTGAAAGAATTAAAACTCCAAGACTAGTTGAAAACACAAAATTGCATTTATTTCTATATACTCCCAACATCAACCAACACTGAACTCCAGATATGTGTCTACTCATCGTATGTATAGCATAGTTAAGTACAAATATGCATACACATATGTATATGCTTGTATAGGTGTATATGTAACGATCTTTATAGCTGTTGTATTTCGTACTATTGAGAACGGATCTATAGATAGGATACAATAAATCATGGAACCAAACGATGTAGAGAACATCAACTACAGTCAACAACCTTGGTATCAAATATTAAATAATATAACCATCGATTAAGTAATGTACATTTGTTCTACACATTTTCGATTATTGTATTCACTTGAAACGCCTCTGTAGAAAAATTCGTAAGTCGTAAACTAAAATTGACTATGCACTTCCGACATTCGGAATATGCATTAGAGACTTCTATTCCTACAAAGAACAAAAATATGCGTAATCTCCTCACTTACGTTGTCTTACATTGATCTATTAACACTTTTGATTTATTTCGTGGCGATGGCTTAACATAATTATTGATTTAGCTAGAACAATCTGGCATATTCCGATACAGATATCATCGTGAGTACAATGTACAAGAAACTACTGTTGTATAAACCGATTTTGTATAAATTCATCTTGCGTATATTTTATCAGTACTATCTCACACTAACGATAAACACTAGACTAATTTATGCTAGTCAATTCATGTTGATCTAAATAAATGAAAGCCAAGTGGTACATATATCAATTCTTCAGCAGCAATTCTAATCGGGCTTTCTTCTCAATTCTCCCCCATCCACTTGGCCTGGCCTGCCCTTTCTCATTAGCTGGATCCTCGCTTGTATAACTTCTACAAAAATTGTATGACAATATACACACAAGTATAAAATGTTTCGATTATCTCCTACGTATTATGATACACACAAAGGCTGCCTAATTTGAGAACTCACTTATGACCTAGTATTATTATTATTAATATTAGTTCTAGGCTTAACATAGCTGGTTTACTTACTATGTTACACATAATCTAAGCTGACTACAACACGTTTGACGTTCAATTTGAATTCAATTTAATTAGCAACGAGCTTTTAACGCAACTCCTTTGCCTACTACGCAAATTAGATGAGAAATCTTCGTTTACTTACGAGCTAATTTACTATTCGGGCCTACTTAAGCTGGAACTAATTTTAGAGCGCCTCAGTCGAGGAGCTGCACGGTCCATGGTATCCGTTCGAACTTTCCGGGGACGACTGGGAGGCAGCTGCTCTCAATGCGGCCCCAATTCCGGGGGAACCGCCTGCTCCTTTAGCCTGAGGCTGTATAAGATGCTTGAACGTCGTTTCCAGCCTGGGAGGATACTGTGGATGGGTTAGATAATGTGGAATGAGTCTCTATATTTTTTATAATTAAATTGGGATTTAAATCGAGTAGAAGGACTCCTATTTATACCTTTCTTATAATAAAATAAGCAACTACTAACTCCCTTATAATCCATGAAGCCATTTGAATACAGACATTTACATGCTTAAAATCTATTTTTTTAAAACGCGAATTCTTCAGCACAAGAAAATCATGCCTCCCTCATGGTCTCTACTTGCATGATTTATTGTTTATAGTCCGTAGAAGTCTAATCCTTAAGAATCATTTGTTTAATCGTTAATATACTTAGGACGCGAATTCTTCAGCAAATTGTTTTTAGGTATTTGTAACCTATAAAAACTTTTTTCTTTCTGATAATTTCAAAGGTATTTATAGCAAACTAGATCGTAACTCACTTCCTGATTTTCATCCAGGGACGGCAGCAGTTCGTCCAGCGAATTGGGCGTAAGGGGACTGGGCGTGGCCATGGTGACGCGACTGAGGGCGCCATGCTGCATCAGGGCCTCACCGATGACGATCTGCGGCTTGTTCTGCGTGAGGTGCTGTTGCTGTTGCAGACGGGCCAGTCGCAGCTTCATCTCCTGCCGGATCTCCTTCTGCTGCGTCTCCTTCTCGAAGCGCATCATGCTGTAGCTGCGCACCGAGGAACTGGTGCTGTGCACCGACGCTAGACTTGGTCTTCGAGAACCTACAAGCGAAGAGACCAAAATACACAGGTGTCAGCCAGGTGAATCGATGGGGGATTGTCGGATGGGGTTGCTGTATCAAAGCTGAGTGAGTATCGAAGCGTTTTGTTTAGAAGAGACGGCGTTTAAGAAAGAGATAGTAAGTTACATATGAGAAAGACAGGAGACAGATATGCATAGCCACAGCGAAAGATCATTCCCAAGCGATTGGAAAGCAAATTAAGCGAGTGCGATCAGCGGAAGACTCCTTAACAGCCAAACATTAGGTTCTTTGGGACCCTATCTCAGCCTCATAAAAACTCTTTTAAAGGGGTATATACATGTAGCCTAATTGTAGCCTTTACCTAAAGTTGCCTTCCAGTTTAGTAAATTTAAAAATCAAAGAAGTCATTAAAGGATTTTTATAACCTACAACCTGAACTTAATATCGACAAAAATATAGTTGTAATTTTAAAGATTATTTTAAACTGAAATGTAAAAGTATTTCCAAATAAGTAAATAAAAGTATTTTTAAGAAGTAAGGCTAATACAATTAAATATTTACACAATATTTAAACACTCAACCACGGCCTACTCAAGGAATAATTCACATTTGAAATACTATAAATTAAAAAAAAAACCTAACTCGAAGAATGTTACGTATACGTCATGTAGTACAAACTCTTGACCTTATTCCTGCACTCACAATTCACAAAACTTTTCAAACATCCTGTAAGGATAAGAATAAAGATAAGGAGAAATTTCTAGGGGGCAAAGTTTGTTTGTTTCAAAATGCAGTCATCTTTAGTTCAGAATGCATGGCGCAGAAGAGGAAAGTAGCTGATTTAGAAGAAGAGGAAGAAGCGGAGGACATTCGCATATAAAGTTGCAGGATTAACATATATAGAAGAAAATTTTCATATCGTTTATCGATTCGTGTGTGTGTGTGTGTGTGTGTGGAAACTTTGGGAACTCAGCCGGCAAAAGGTCAGCCGGAGGTTGAGTGACGTGGAGAATCCTGGCGGCAGACAAGTGTCCTTCGCTGCTGACAGGATACATGCAATTGTGTGTGTGCGTGTATTGTGTATGTGAGTGTGTGACATAATTTTCTTAATTTGCAATAGTTGAATATATTAGCTATAGAAAATCGTGTACGGTTATGCAATATTACTTTGTTTTTTTTTTTTTTTGTGGAAGTTAGGGAAGATTTTCTATGAACATAGTCACCGCCATATTGCTTCAATATCATCTTGTCGAAATGTATATTTGATCATCCTCAGAATCTGTGGCTTTTATAAAATTATTCCTTATCAAATGGTGTCATTAAACCTGAGACGAGTTTCTGTTGCATTCTCTTTCTTGTTGAGTTGGTTTAATTACATTATTCTCGATATTTATTTAGTGGCTTAGTGCGCGTGTGTGTATCGCAGTGTATGTGTATGTGTTTGTGTTTTTTTTTTTTTGTAGTAACGATAGAAAAATTATAACAATGTAACAACTTTGTATTTGGAAAAAGAGGGGCTCGGAAGCACATAAAACATCGATCATCAAGAGAACACAAAATTTGTTTGTAGTTTTTCGTTTTTAACTAGACAGAGTTGTCAATTTAAACACTAATTAGACAAGCAGGGGGAAAGGGGATAACCAACGCCAATGTACACAAATTAAGTTTCCAACTGTAAATAAACTGAGCTGAATTAACGATACGTGATTGCATGAATAACACAATTTGTGACTTTTAAATATGGCATGAGACATGATTTTAATACAAAGTCTGATAATTGAGGGGGAATGGAATTCGATAGTACCTAAATGAATGATGGAATTCGGTAACCAATCTGCGTTGTAATAGAAATCTTTTAAACAATTTTATTTGATTCAGTTTAAATTTGATAATTAAATTTTCATTTTACGATGAGATTTGATTGGTGTTTCATGCATTTGAACTGCAAGAACCTCATTATGTTTTTCATTTGCATTAAAATTTCGCTTTCTCACTACACCCAAAAAAACTAAAAGTTTAGTTTCAATAAGTGTGTCTTAAACCAAAAGTATTATAACAAAGTATTAGTTCAATAACAAATAGAGTCTAAAGCATTGTTTGTAAACCAAAAAATTTTAAAATTTTATTACTTTCGTGGAATTAATTTTATGCTCATCTTTAATTTTATTGTAATAATAGTTTAGTTTCTAGGACAATTATATTTGAGTGTAGCCAAAAAAAAGTTGAAAAATTTGCAAGTGAGTTGAAATATTTATGCAAAGTTTGAACACAGAAATACAGATGATAAAAAAAGTAATGAATTTTAATTTAGCCTTCTAGCTGATGAGCAAGTAAATGAGAAAATGAGTTCCTTTAAAATAAAATTTAAAGTTAGATGACTGCGATGAAAAGATCTTGAGAATTACAATATAAACTAGGGGCTAGCACAGACTTTGAAGTATCTCTAAACGGAATGGGATGCAAAACGATGGAACAGATACGAATAGCACATAGATGACATTGTTTCTGTTGTGATGTGGCACTGTTTTGGTGGGACATGGACATGGCGATGGCGATACGGAATGCAGATGGAGATGAGCAGACCACACGATCGAGCAATGAATGCTGGGATGACTGATGTTTGAGTTGATTTACCGCAAATCGGGGCGTTTCACTCGCCGGCGTGGGCAGTGCGCCAATTTGCAGGTGATGCAGCTCGGCGCCAGTGGCGTATCTGCCGCTGGAGTCGCCGCCATTGGTGTCGGCATCGCCGTAACCACCAATCACACCGTAACCGTAGCCGTAGCCGAAGCCACCAACACCACCACCAGGATCAAGATTAACTGGATCGCTATCGTAGGCATGGTCATGGGCATGGGCATGGGCATGGGCATGAGGGACTGTTGTGCTGGGATCTATACTATGCGGACCGCACTCATCGTAATCCTCCTCCTGCTCATGCTCCTCCTTGCCCCCCAAATTGTCAATGCCATTCATGCCCAACAAAGTCCTAAATCTATCCTGATTCCGCGACCTCGCCGGCGACAGCTCGAAGCTGAGCAGATGCCGCTGGTGGTTCAGTTGCTTCTGCAGTTGGCGGTTCATCGAAATGGTGCTCTCGCAGCTGCGGCAACCACTCCCACTACCACCACCTCCACCGCCTCCACCGCCTTCATCAAGGTCATCTCGCGAATGCTGGCTGCAGCCCGCTCCGGATGTGTGCCGCGACGAGGCCCGCGAATTCTGTTTGGACACCGCCGCTATGTGACACGATATGAGCAATATGGCGGCCGATCTAGCCGCACCTGTTCGAGACGTCGACACCAGGATGCCCTTCGAGCCGCCGCTTCCCGACGCCGCGCCTCCTCCTCCTCCTCCTCCGCCTCCGCCACCGCCGCCAGCCACGCCTCCGCCGGCAGCAGTCCCGCCCATTCCGCCGGCCGAGGCGCGTCGGTTGCCAAAGGAGCCAATCGATCCCGTCGACCGGATGCTGGAACGCGACGACGGACGCGCCGAGTGAACGGTGAGCGGTATCCCTGAAATCAAGGCAAATCGGTCAATGGAGACAAGAAAATAAGACGGAAAACCTTAACTAAAGACCCAGAAAATAAGGAAATAAAAAGATAACGATTTTTAAAACAACAAAAATTAATATCTGACTATCGAATAAAGAAATAAATAAATATTAATGTCGAATATCAAATACAACGAAACTGCATGATATAATATTAAAATATTTTAATTAACGTGGAAAATATTAGATTTTAAATAGTTTCTATTTCATTTTATTTTAGATACAAATTTTAATTTTAATTTAATGTTCAGGTATTAAAATTCAAAATAACTAATAACTGTAGTAGATGAAAATCAAAGCTAAAAATATTTAAATTGAAAACAAAATATTGGGATTTACTACGTTTCTTTTTACAAGCGTACGAAACTTAAAGCACAATATGCTCTGTAATACTGTTTTTTATAATAAAACTTTTAACTTAAAAGTGTTATTAAAATGTTTAAATTCCACTTCTAAACAATTTTCGAACAAAACCGGACTAGTGAAACCACTCACTCACCTGTGTCGCTGGAGTATAGAATGGGCGGCGGAATGCTGGCGTCTCCGTAGTTTCGATGCCGCGGATATTTCGTTTTGCTGAACAGATGCAGCACCATGCAGATGAGACCGGCCAGAACTGCGATGCCCGTGGAGACGCCCAGCAAAGTGGGCAGATCCGAACTCAGTTCGCTCAGATCTACAAAAATAATGTCATATTAGGTCCTACATTGTTCACTTTTAAATCTAACTTTCTTGTAGGATAGAGGACTTTGTTAAATTTTAAGAATTTTTAACATTCTGAAGAAATATTACAATATATTAACTAAATTAGTATCATCAAAATAATAAGAAACTGTTTGAAACAACTGAGATTTCCAATTTTGTATGCATGTCTTCAACATTTATTCTTTTAGGTCAATTTAATTCTGAAGAAATATTACAATATATTAACTAAATTTGTATCAACAAAATAATAAGCAACTGTTTGAAACAACAGGGATTTCCATTACAATTTTTTATATTTTTTATTACTTATGCATGTCTTCAACATTTATTCTTTTAGGTAAATTTAATAATTAATAATTAATTAAGTTACAATACATATTAAATTTGGATTTAAACAAATATTCTAATTGTTTAGCGCTTAAAAATATGCAATACATTTTTTAAGATCATCAGAATCTTTTCGGATTACTCAGAAAACAAAATTCCTTGATTTTAGAAAAATTCACATTAAAAATGAGCCAAGAGCACTATGGCCTTATGTTATTTGATAGGTAATGTTTTCCTACATTTATACGGAAGACTCAATTTTTTTTATTATTTATTAAGGGATTTTTAATAAAATCAAGGATTTTGTTTTCCTGAGTGTGTGCTATAGAAATCTTTTTCATGCGAAATAATATTTAATGGCACTCGTTTGAAAGAGATTTTCGTTTAGCTTTGTAGATTAGTACCTGGAGTGCAAAAGATGCGACGCGTTGGCTTCACATAGCTCACGGAATGAAATCCGCTGGCACACTGGCACATCGCATTGTGCCGCACCTGAACACAAAGGGAGTTCTCGTCGTTGTAGATGCAAGTCTCGTCGTAGAAACACTGGTCGCCCAGTTTTTTAGCTACGAGCGGATGGATTGTATAAATTCTGAGGGCAAAACGTATTGTGGCATTGCAACTACTTACGCTTGGCGCAACCCTTAATCAGTCCCAGCTGCACAGGATAATTGCGCTCGCAGCTGCAGGTCTGCGACTCCTTGTCGCAGGACACGTGCAGCAGCTTGACGTCACACTTCAGCTCGTTGCACGGCGCTCCTATGTATTTCCCCTTAGCTGCAATGCGCAAAGCCAATTTGCATTAACAATTAAGCCTCGCAAAATGCAAATTAAATCAATGTGAGGCAATCAAAGTGTACAGAAATTTAATAATTTTTTAGCCTGTCAAACGGGTTATCAGATAATTCAATTAACAATGACAGAGATAGAGTACCCATCTTAATAAGTGTTTTTAAATATAATGGTAATCAAGTATATTTTGTGTGAATTTTTAAAACAGCGTATTTGCTACTATAAAGTGGCTTTTATTCCTTTTATGTATGAATTTATTTATCTGGTATATGTATGTATTACTTTATTATTACCCAAACTATATTAATTATATCAAATATTTCTCAGCAAAATTGGAACATATCTTCAATTTTGTTATTCTTATCCAATCGTACAGAAAAAGGTATATTAAATTCAAAACCCAATATATATAACTACCATAATGTGGTGTTTAAAGACTGCTAGAGAAATGCAAATTTCTCAGAATATCACAAAAAGCTTTATGTCCTTGCATCATCATTAGGAAATTTCTTTTTAATTTTAAACAGAATATTCAATTCAATTCCATTAAAAGCCCATAGTATCTGTTCGCACAACCAAGGGCGGAACACACAAGCAGTTGTATGCCACCATCCAATGCCACCATTCCTTGCTGTGGTATTTTGTAATTCCCGCATCATGGCCAAAATAAAATGGATGAGTCGGTGAATCATGTTGCATGGACCTCCAGTCAAGAGGCGAATCCTGCAGCTGTTGCGGCAGATGCAGTGCCAGGTGGATGGAGACAGGGCGTGCCAAAAATAAAAGTTAAACAACAACGATGGTGCAGCATGGCGAGGGGATGTGTTGTGCAATTTATGGTCTCATGGTCTCTGGGGCATGGACACTCGGTTTGGGACTTCGCACTGACCAAAGGTCAATGCAAACTAACGAAACGCTGCCACCGGCCAAGTGCATTATCAACACTATTTTCATTTATTTGTGTTTGCCACTGCAGCCACAAATATTCATTTACAAAATGGGATTATACAAAGGAGTGCAGAGATAAGTTTTATTCAACAAATACTCGAATTTATGAAGTAAATGGAATAAATGGTATTTACTTTGACTGAAACTTTTGCTTAAATGCAACTTAATGGCAATATATATGAGCAAATTGTTTTTGTTTACCGAGTGTTGTTTGCAGATTGTACGGATTTATTTTAAATCATTGAAGTTCATTTAATTAAAATAAGTAACAGTACATTTACAGTAATATATGAAAATTTTTGAATTAAGTTTTAACGAATAGAGTATTTTTAAAATTATATTATAAGTATTTTCCACAAACAATTAAACACAGTTTAATTTATCAAATTTTTGTCATCTATCTAAAGACAAATATATGTATATATATAAATATATATATTAAAATATATGAACTTGTTTTAAGATGCTTTTAGTTCGAATTATACTAACAACAATGCAATTTATGGTTAAAATTAAAAGGTTTTATTTTTAATTTATTTACCCTCATTAAAGATGCTGATTAATAATGGTGCATTAATAATGAATGCAATGAAATAAATAATTCGGCTTTTCAGAAACCTAATTAAAGAAGCCTTTTAATATTAATCTATTGCTTTGGCTATAACGGATTCACATTAAACCAATTCATTTTGCTATATGCCAAATGACATCTGAATTTATATTCCTGTCTTGGCTTAGCTAAATGGGCATTCAATTTATTGTAAAACTATTGGTTTAAAAAAAACGTTTTCCTTTTAAAGCCGTTTGTTAACAAAAAAATATATTATTTCTGAGCAACAAAAGACCCTTACCTGACTTATTATTAAGCAAGGCCTCCAGATCGTCGACGTCGTCCGGATAACTGCCATATTCGTCATCTTCAGGCACATTGGCGGCATCGCGTTTCTGCGTGCGCTTCTCGAGTTGCTCATGCCGCGGCAGAGGTTCCGATCCCTCCGGAGCGTGTACGGCGGAGGAGAGACTCAGATTCACCAGGACCGGGATGGCGGTCGAGTCGGAGGACGAGGCCAGGACAGAGGCGGACACGGAGGCGTGGAGCAGCAGGAGGCAGCCGTAGAGGAGCATGGCCTGGCCCAGCTGCATGGCCAATAAGTGGCAGCTGTGTGGATGTTGCTGCTGCTGCTGCTGATGACGTTGCTCCGGTTCCTGTTGTTGTGGCTGCAGTGGCAGTTGCAGTTGCAGCGCCACCAGCTGCAGTCGCCGCAGAAGACAAGGCAACGTTAACTTCGCCATTTTGTCATTTTCGCAACGGCGCACACGGTCTTCTTGTCTTCTCAACACATTCGCAATTGTTTGACAACTTTCGTCATTTGGCCGAGAAGTTTCGTTGATGTCGTTAACAGTTTTGTGTGTGTTTAGTTTGGATCGAGTTTCTGTTTTCGCTTTTGTTTTTGTTTTCGTTTTCGTTTCCGCTTGGCTTAGTGGTTTTGTGTTTGCTTGGACAAATTGGCCAAAACCCTGGTGCACATTACGTATACGTCATGGCGCATATTACGTATACGTCGCCGGTCGCTGCTGCTGCTGCTGGCGATGATGATGTTTAGCCAAGGCCCGCCTGCCGCTTTCGAGTGGCCAACTATCAAACTGCCTGCCCTGCATGATAATTTTATATAATTTAACCCCAACACGAGTAGCTCTTGCTCCGGTTCTTGTTGTTGCGCCTTCGGTCAGCAGCGTCATCATCTTCGAGTGACCCACTAATGTGTGTTGCATGTACCGCCCCCTCCCTTTAAGTTGGGCATTAATTCCATGCAAACTGCAGATTTATGGCACGAACTTTGCAAATCTGGGTTGGTCGTCTTCTTCTGCCTGCTCCGGCTCGTTATCCCAAGCTGAAATTGCACGGAAAAAGGTCGAACATATAAATTTGTGCGGCTTATACCGAAATAACCATAAATAATTTGAGCAGTGCGTGCCATCGCATCAAATAATCACCTATATTAACCGTTTAAAAATGTTTGCGTTTCACAAACCGTAGAAATTAACAAGGACCAATGCGCGAGTTTATTTATGCGATTTGTTTTAAAGTTTACTCAAGCTTAAGTTTTTTGAGTTTTAAAAGTGAATAAGAACTGAAGGCATTATGTTAAAGTTTTACAAACAATAAAAATACCCAACGACCAACGCTCGAGTATCTTTATGCGGTTTCTTTAAAAGTTTACTTGAGTTATATAAGTATTTATTGCGACTCAGAATAAGCAATAGAAATATTTAAAAATCTGTTAGCCAAAAGGTATGAAAACTTAAATTTTATTAATTGGTTAACAGATGGTTAATAATGTCATCCGTAAGCTCTAAAACAAAATGATAATCAAGAAAAGTCACACACAGCTGTCTCAAAAGCAAACTAACGAAACCATTGTCTTTGTATTTCTTTTATTTAGAACAAACAACATTTACTCTTTATTTAGGCGAAATGCGATTGCTAGGGGTATAAAAGGGAATGGATTTAGCTTTCATAGCTTAGATCACAAAATCTTCTCAGTGCGAAAATGAAACTTCTACTGGTGTTGACATTGGCCGTATTCATCGCCCATGTGGCTGTGGCCCAAAGTCCTGATGCAGAGGATGATGACTATGACAATTTCGATGAAGATGACAATGAAGATGACAACTCTGTGGACAGTGGAACTCCTGAAGACGATACTGACGTCGATAGCGATACTGGTGATAACGATCTTGGAAGCGATGGCGAAGGAAACTCAGATGGCGGTGATGACTCCGACGATGATCAAGAAGTTACTCCTGCTCCGAAAGTAAAAAAAAATAATGCCAAAAAAAACGGTGCCCGTAGAAATAACAGGAACAACAAGAAAAATACTACACCCAAACGCCGTAATGCCGCCGCTGCCAAGAAAACCCAAAGACAGACGGCTAGGAAGCAAACGCCTGTTGCCGCTAAAAAACGGACAAATGCTGTGGCCAACAGACGCAGGCGCTCTGGATAATTTAAGCTTAATTTGTTAATTGCAAAATTATAACAAATTTATTGGTTTATTTAAAAGACGTTAAAAAATAAAATAAAAACAATACATTTCAGTCATTCAAAGCTAAAATATTTTAATTCACAACTGATTAGGTTTAGTTTTATTGGAACAGCTTTTCGAAAAATAAATTCATAATGGCAACCACTAAGTTATTAATCGAAATGAAATGTATGTTTATAAATAAGATGAACACTTACTTATCAGGGGTTTCTCAGAAAACTTTTTTAAATAGACTGAAACACATAATACATTCTAGAAATCATAAATAACTATTAAGGTTATTTAACAATCCAATAGTGCTGCCAAGATAGAATAGATTTAGATGTTGTTTTCTTAATTTTTTTGTTGTTTTAAAATTTAAATATATATTTGTTTGTTTTTTCATCACCAAAAATTTATTCTGATTTTTTTGTTTCACACTTTTTTGTTGAATAGCAAAAAAGAATTTAACTAAATCAAATATCTTAAATGTAAACACCATGGGCACCACCTTTTTTGTATAGCCTGCGAATTACTAGTCATTTGAAAGTTGGATCATTTTTCTGTATTGTTGATCATTGGGGTCAATGAATTATATAAAACGTGCGCCTTATAACCTTCACTTTTTTTGGATCTTTTACTGTTTAACCTTTTTCTAATGCGTTATTTAATTTTTAAATCCAACTTTTAGCAAGACGAATATTGTATACAAAAAGATAGCATACACAGGTGTTCTAAGCCAACAAAATAGAAAAACAAGTCTTGAAAAGCAAATATGTACATTGTACACAAATACCAAATGTAGAAATTCTTTATATATTATATTTTCTTAATAGTTTTTCTGACAAGTGAAATTTATAAATACCCAGCTTTGAAGACTTTTAAGCTCAAAAGTGTTACAGTTATAAATCGATTCGCTGGCTCAAATTAAAATGAGGCTTTTGCTGGTTTTAGGGCTGGCCATATTGGTTGCCTACGTGGCGGGTGCTGAAGATGATTCTTTGGAAGGCTATGACTATGGTAACTCTGACTATGACTACGACGATGATGACTCCCTGGCTGAGGAAGGAGAAGAAAGCGCTGAGTTAGATGATAAAAGCGCTCGTTTAAAGGAAGAAAGCGATGAGGATTTAACAGACAGCTCAGGAAATGGCACTTCAGCCACTTCAGGCAGTGACGGGGACGGTGCCGGAATCAGTTCCGGGAGTAATGACGAAGTTAGTTCCGGGAGTAACGCCGAAGTCAGTTCCTCTGATAGCACCTCCAGTAAAACGAAAACAACAAACAAACCAAATGTCTCCAACGGAAATAGTGCAAAGAAAACCGCTGCTCGCAGGAACACACGACGCAGGCGCACCACCGTAGCCCCAAGAAGACAAACCACTGCTGCCCCAAAACGCCAAGTAGCGGCTGCCACGCCCGCCAAAAGGCGAACACCTGTGGCCAATAAGAAGCAGACACCTGTGGCCGCCAAGAAAAAGACCAACGCTGTTGTCAACAAAAACAAGCGCACAGGCTAAGACTTTTATAAATATTTATAAAAACTATAAATATATGTTTAAAACATTTAGCATAACCATTTATCTGTTAAAAATAACAAAAATTGTGGTGGAAAAGTTTGGAACTTTAACTCAACCTTCAAAAATACGGACATTAAATCTGTTACCAAGCCCAAATTGTAAGCTCAAAGGTAATATGCTTTTGCCAAGCTATACTTTAGTTTATAAGCCAAAAACAAATGTTTAAGAAGCCATATAAAGAGGGTGTACAACAGAACTCAAATATTTCTAAATTAAAAAGCCTGCCTGTTTTCAGAATATTTTTGTTGGTTCACATTTACATTTTAATGGGCTTCGCGCAATGTGTTTCTACATAAACGAAAGCCAATAGCATCTATAAATAGTAATTGTGGCCCTATACATGTGCAAAGAAATGCACAGGGACACTTAATTACTGATGCGCACAGGCGACAATTGTTTAATAGTGAAAGGATAACAAAATGGGAGGAGCAGACAGCATCATCGGCCGCCACAATAGGTCCATTGTTTTCGATTTCAAAGCGCCGACATTCTGGCAGTGGCACTGCCAGCAGAAATCCCGTGTATCCAGTGCACTGCGGCGCACATAAAAGCCACTCCGCATCCAAGTGTTTGTATGCCCGGGAGAGAGATGGTATCCTGCAGCTCTATACCCCCATACGCCCACTCACGTATCCTTGTACGGCACCCGCTGTGGCAGCTTAGTGAGCCAAGTGTGGCAACAATCTGAATCATCGTTTTAGTTTCCCCCTAGCAAACCCAATCCACATAAAAAGGGTATGACGGGTTACTGCGTTCGTAGGGATTCGTATTAAATTAGAATCTAACCAGGATGTGGGAGAAAAATAAGTCGGTAAGTTCAAAGGTATGCTTAAACATATATCCTTACTAGATGCTCTAAATATAACCCTTTGTCTTTACTTATCTTGAACAATACGATATACTTTTTAAAATTCAACAGATTTTTGTTGTCGTATACGTATTTTATTTTTTATGGTTCCATTTATCCAGATGCCTTACCACAATAACAACTATGTATGATAAATTAACAAATATTAGAAAATATAAACTATTTTTCATTACGGCTTATATGGATTAAATCGTTTCTATGTTTTTACATACATAATCCCTAATATCCCATATATTTTAATACAGATTTATAGCGTATATTCCCGTGGTGGCTATGATATACCCTGCTAACACCATTTACATTTGCAGACGATGGACTGACAGGGAATCTGAGAGAGGAGGCGACGGAGGATATGGCTGCTGTAATATCTGTGGCTGATGCCTTAAGAGGAAAATGCGATAATGTGCGCTAAACAATGAACAATGCAGAAATGGCATAAAAATAGCCAGAAGTGGGATATGAAGTGGGACGCAACGGCGGGAATAATAATGGAATATGTGTTTGGCTCTGGCTACGATAGCGGCTAGGATAATGGTGGTCGGTGTCGGCGTCGGTGGCTTGTGTTGGTCTTGTTAGCACTTACGATGATGATGATGGCAAGTGCCAGATGTATGCAGATTGAAGGTGTGGCTGCTGACGTTGATGGGTACGTTTTGAGTAGCAGAAGCAGAAGCAGAGGCAGAGGCAGAGGCAGAAGCAGATCGTCAGATTCGAGCTTCTGCTTTTGACATTTACATGTTTTGCAATGGAAATTTCAAGGGGCAAGTCCTTGTGTTAAATGATTTAGACATCTGTGTTGGATTTCAAACGAGACCCATTAAAAACATTTTCACAAATGATTTCACTTTAGTGTTTGAAAATTAATAAACAATCTTTTGTTTGTTTTGCACTTACTGAATTAAACAAATAATTGTTGTATTTGCTACTTAGCTTTAAACAGCATAGATGCATATTTGAAATTGGACTTAGCATACATGACGTATGAGCAATTTTTTCTTCGTTGGGCAACAGCTTTGAATTTAACTAAATTTCTATGATATTGATTTTATCATATTATGATTTTTTCTGCAATAAATTATTTATTGTTTTTTTTTTTGGGCTTTAGATAAGGTCTTACAAAATGTAAGCCAATATAATAAAAACAAAATTATGTTTTTTCATCTTATCTTCGTCAAACAAAGTTAATTAACAAAGTGTCTTAAATAAAATCTACAGCAATGCTTAGAACATCCATCAAACTATTTTTAAATTTGCCGTTGCTCACTTTTTGATAACAATCTTTAAACGCCCAACAAAGACATAAACTTCCTCCTTGTGGATGTATAATTTGAAAAACAATTTGCATTTCCTTGAGGGCAATTTATTTTCCATTCCTACGGAGCGGCAGAAGGCAGGGAAACTAAAAGTTTCCGCACTCCAAAGAAATTTTCTCTAACAAGGCATTTAGTTGGCAAACAAAAATACGTGCATATTTCTAACCTGACGGTGGGCAAAATGTTTATGTAATTATGGACACGTTTAAAAGCCCTGTGTTTTCGTGGTAGAATGGGAATGGACTTGGAGAAAAGTGAGCGAGTAACTGGCAAAGAGCGGAGCAATTTATGTAAGTGCGATATAGTTTTATGTCTCGGCGAACCATTAAAATGTGCATAATGCCATTCCGTCCAGCACTTTGCTTATAAATTTACACCGGCTGAGGGAAAAACCAGAATAGCGGAAATGCAAGTCCAATATGAACCGACGAGGATTACGAGGCGAGGACGAAAAGGATAGACAGGAGCTTAGTGGACATAGCATACACTTAAAAAAAAAACATAAGTTTTTAGAATTTTGATTGGACTTTAATTGGCTATGAATCCTTCTGCCACAAGTTTATTTTAATAAAATTATAATGCTTTTTTTTTGTTTTTAAATTAGGCATCAATACTTTACTTTATCTAAAAACCTAGTGTAGAAATGTCAGGACCTTTGAAGCAATACAATCAGTGATTTTTACTAAGTAAATTTATTGTTGGTATCAGACAAAAAAAAAAAGATAAATTATTTTATTTATGTTCTTGAAGTGAGCATTAAATATTGGCTATTTTTTACATTACCCAAAACTATATTCGGTTTTTTTCTAATTTTAAACAGAAATGTCCTTTTGAAGAGTGCACACAGTTGCACAGCGATGTGAATGAACGCACGTCCTGCCGCGCTTGTATGGGTGCAGGGATTTACGGGGGTGTAAGAGGGAGACGGGCAGTGTTACAGTAACGGTAACGGAAGCGACGAACGCAAACATCATCCTGCATTCTGCATCGTCGTAACTCGACGCTCTCAGAGAGAGTCTTTCTCAATAGAGAGAGCTAGAGAGAAAGAGAGAGAGCGCCTGCCCCCAGAGAATAGCGGTACATAAGGACTTTGCGAAAACTGCACTTGTGTGCGTGCGTGTGGGCTCCTACTTTTAGGCACTGATAAAAGCAAATTTACATACGCCGAAATTCGTCCCGCCGCCCCTTATTGCCCGCCCACTTGCTTTCGGCCACGGCTTTTGGCTTCTTATGTGTCGCCGATGCCGTTTAAAATGTAGGTTACACACAGCTAAAAAGGACCCGTAGACGCATACAAATAACACTCACAGACACACACACACACAAACACAGAGAGAGCGGCTCGGGCACACATGCACGTGCATCCGTGCAATATATTTCAGCACTTTTCGTTTTCCCCTCGGAGTGTGTCCTGCTCTAAGGTAATAAAAGTTTTACAATTTTTCGGTTACATATACACACATCCGTGTGTGTGTGTGGCTTTTGGCTTTTGTCTTTTACTAGGGGCTCAAGTCAGCTGGGCCATACAGATTTTGATTCGCACAAAATCAAAGTTACGGTCTCCGTGACCCGTAAAAGTATGCTACCAAAAGTGAACTTTTCGACATTTTCATAAAAGTTGTAAAAAAAAAACATAACAAACTTTAAAAGCGAATTTTAAGAATAATAAATTAATTATAAATTAAAAGATTTATTGGTCAAACTAATTTAATATTATGTTTATTAATGCTTTATGTAAAGTATACCTCATCAATCGCAAAGGTTAAAACCATTGCCATAACAAATTTAAAGGGTTATACATTTTAAAGATTAAACAAAAAATGGTAAATTTGTATTCATAAAAATATTTACCATTTTTCTATTAAATAAAAATACAATTTTACCGATAGAGGGTCATTAAGTTCGCAAAAAATATAAGCTACTTACAAAAGTTAGTTAAAAAATGTAGACAATCAAAAAATAGATAGTGTATCTATCATGTGTCGCACAGAAAAAAGATTCCTATTTCCGGATTGTGCTCTGTAAGCTCTTTCTAATAGTAAGTTAGGCTATCTCAGTTTAAAATTATCAAAGCCAAAGCCAAACAAATGCTTTAACCGAATAAGTTCACTTTTTATTTAAATTAATCATTTAGCAATATTATTCAATATAAATTTTCATATAAATTACTGGCTTCTTTAAAATAATTATCGAACCAATAATTTCCTTACAACGAAAATATAGCTTCTTGGGCTTGTCTAAAATCAAATTGTCGTTCTATATTAATTTAAAATTTCACCCCAAGTAGCATTCAAGGCCTCCTTGTATCCTGCTCCTTGAGCTTTTTCATAATTTAAATTGTTTTTGTTGACTTTTTGATGAGTGCCTGTGTGAGTTGGAGAGCAGAAGCATAGAGAAAACGTAACAACTGTGACAAGGGCAGGAAATGCTCCACTAGGCCCATAATACTATACAGATTCGTACATAATACATATATACCTACAGCTATGTATTGTAGTGTACCTATGTGGAACATATACACACAAGCTCGTCTGGGATTTCTTGTTTTTGTGTGCGGAATCAAATGGCCTGCCAAACAGCCAAGCAGGAACCAATCAGCGATAAATCAAAGTTTGATTTGATTTTCAGCAATGTTTCTACCTTTTTCGAGCTCGTTTTCCGCCAGTGGCAATTTCACCGGAACATTGTGTTCGCCTACGAATTAAAACTTTCACATAATTCGTCAAACTTGGCGCTTTAATCATTTAACTTTTTCCAATTTGGCGCTGCCGCAACTTTCCGCATCACAGAGACACACACACACACGCAATTCGTTTAAATTTTAATGCAATTTTAATGCAATTTTACTTGCGAACTTTGCAGCGAGCACTTGTATGGGTTTCGTTTTAGGGCTTGAATTAATCCACGTCTAACACATTAGCAGATATATATATCATTGCATTGTCTAGTTCGCGCTGGTATGAAAAAACCAAGCGGTTTGGTATTGGTTCTTATGCGAATGGCGAACTAATCGGAACTGAACCGAGCCCACAGCAGTAACGGTAAAGGACGATGCGTGGGCGGCCACGACGATGCTGCTCCTTCGGTTGTTGCTTGACATCTGTTCGAGGTCCTCGGGTCTGGTCTTTCGGTTCTGGGAGAAGAGTGGTCGCAATGCAGGAGAACTTGACGTAGGTTCGAGTTCCGAAAAGGGGGATGAGAATCCGTATAGCTAACCAGGATTCAGAGCGAAAAGAGAGAACCGAGCGACTGGAACACCACTTTAAAGTCAGCTGTTCACTTTTCCTTAGATTTTTAAAGAAATGCCAAAATTTAACAACTTTCTTAAAACCAGTTTTAAATCTTTTTAATCAAAAAACTAAATTTGTGTTGTCAGGTATAGTTTGTCATTGTTTTGTTAAACAACAAACATTGTTAAATGATGCGCACTTTAAATAATAAGGCTTGGAGTAAACGTGATTCCGTTAAAACCTTTTTTTTCTTACACTTTTTTTTAACTAGTCAAAATATATTAAAAAACTTATGATGTATTCGTATTTTACAATGCATATTGTGCTTTTATAAATAACGGTTATATCTATTCCTTAAATTGGTATTTAATAACCGACATACTGCGGTCACACTAATCGTAGCGAGTTTCAGTAAATAAACATATGAAATGTGAGAAACTACTACAAAACAGTAAGAAATGTTATTAAAAAAAGCCTTAAATATACTTATTGCATTCATAATCCATTTTTAGGGAAATGGAGGAAGTATGCCGAGCTTGCCTGAAAAGGAATGGACAAATGTTGAATATATTCGATGGTTCCGAGACATCAGGAATTTCTATTGCGGATATGATATCTGAATGTACTGGGTTTCCAGTTCAGAGAGGGGATTTACTTCCCGAAGTGATTTGCCCTCCTTGCCTTCAGGATGCCCAGAATTCCTTTGATATTAAACAAACGTATGAAAGGAGCTACCAGCTCTTCTGCAAAATGAAGAAGGCGTCTACCACAGAACAAATTTTGGAAGAAGAACATACCATAGACCGCGGCGACCAAGTGAAACAGGAAGACATTGAGGAGGAGTTTTTGGACGAAGACAATGGGTTGCCCAGAATTTCAAACTCTAAGGAATTGAATTTCTGGGAAAAACCTGATAATTACCATGCACTATTGAGGAGTGAGGACTTTCAGAATCTCCAGAAGAAAGACTTAGTCGAAACTTCCCATTGTAAGAGGCAGAAGTCGAATATTGTAGAGGAACACAACCACTTCGATGACCAAGTGCGGAAGCAAGCAATTGAGAAGGAGTTTGTGAACAAAATATTGTGTCAAGTGAAGAGAGAAACCAATGAGGAGGAGTTTCTGGAAATAGACGAAGGATTGAGCCAAAGTTCTGATTCTGAAAACCAGCGATTGACTGGCTATGATAACCAAGACCTCGAGAAACCACATTTGAGTAGGGGGAAAGCTGAACAACATTTAGAAAGAATTAAGGAATCCATTAGCGACAATGTTCATGTAAGGACCGATCCCATTTATAATGGTTACTCGGAAGAAGATATTACAGATGATCGATTCACTTATCAAGCCAATACTGAAAAGTCTAAAATTTCCAGAAGACGAGCCCCCTCTAGCCCCTTCAAATGTTCGTACTGCCCGAAGACCTGTACCTACCTATCAAAATTTAGGATACACCTTCAAACTCATACAAAGGAACGGCCGAACCATTGTCCATATTGTCCAAAAACATTTGCTTCTCTATATAATCTTAACCAACACCTAAGAACTCATAATGGCGGTCTTTTCGAGTGCCCGCATTGTTTTAAGCGATATCCCCATAAGTCTACTCTGAAGATCCACATCCAAACTCACAACAAGGGAACACGAAAATACAAGTGCTTGTATTGCTCAAAAAGTTTCTCAATTTTAGAAAATTTAGAATTGCACAATTTAATGCATACTGGCGAGCAACCGAAAAAGTGTCCCCATTGCCCAAAGGCTTTTAGTCGAAATTCTGTTCTTACAAAACATTTCCTTACTCACAGGCAAGAAAGCCCACACCAATGTTCCTTTTGCCAGTTGTATTTCGAAAATGGGAAATACCTTAGCAATCATATAAGAACCCATACCGGTAAACGGCCTTTTCAACTGGTTCTGTCTAAAGATCGTCAAAGTTAACCCAAATTATTAACGGCAAGCACGAGTGGCCAATTGCTATCGATATTTAAAAACAAGCTTAAACTTAAATGTAAAATATATATTCAATAATTCAAAAGTATAAATTACAACTTACCAGTGTAAAAAACGAATACAATATTTTATTAAATAAATATAAAACCGATAAATTGTGTTTACAATGACAAAGCTTTTCAGCCGATGAATACCGATGTTACTCACGACCTCGTTATCTCCTCACTCATAGAAAGTTGTTGTTATAGCAGTCGGCCCCTTGAGCCGGCAGAACAGTTTTATTCTTCGAAAAGATTGGAAGTAAATCTAGTAAAGTATAGCTGGATCGGATTGTTTGATATTCCAGACAGTTTTCTAGTGTATTCTTAAGAATGCAAGTGTTTTTAGCTTTAGCCCTGCTCGCAGGCTTGGCTTTGTCGGGTGAGTTGTTAACATTAGGTTGCAAAAAGTGTTTAGCCAAACAAAGAATAATCTATTTGCATGTGTGTGTTTAAACTAGTGCAAAAAAACAACAAAGGAGGTTGATATATTAACATTGTTAGGTGTTTGAAAATTAATTGATTATTATAGCTAGGCAATTGATTGCTTAATTACTGCTTTAAGGTTAAAAAGATTTTGATTTGATTTTCACTTCGGACAATTTTCGTTTTTAATTTAATTTTTAATTTAACGTTTCAATGACAGTATGCCAAAAACATTGAATTATTGAGAAAACGAAACAAAGTTTATCCACATGCATTAATCAATTGTTTAAAAAAAAATATATTTTTACTTTTAACTTAACCATACATACATACATATATATGTATGTATGCATGTCAAATGTGGCGTGAGCTTAAACCGCGATGGCTGCCCTTTACCGTTTGTTTTTTCTTAGCTCCCGCTTATTTTCACCTATCTCTATTTCTCCCCACTTTCGCCGACAAAAAAAATAGTGCATGCCACGAATCCACCGCGATGGGATGCAAATTATATAGTCAAGGGCACGCTGTACATCCCGTATGCCGAGATTGCCGAGCCCTTCTACGCCTGGTATGACAAGAATACAAAGCGATCGCGCATCGACTACTACGGCGGAATGGTGAAGACCTACCAGCTGGCCGGCGAAGGGCAGTACGGAACCCTGCTGAAACTGGCACCGATCACCACCCAGACGGAGACCAACAAGTTGACCTGTCTGCAGGTTAATGGCACCGCCGATCAGGCCGTCGAGATCCAGAGTATCCTGCCCGATGCGAAACCCTTCAGCCTGGTGGGCACCGAAACCTTTCTGGGCTACACCTGCGACAAGTTCCGGCTGGAGACGAGCATTGGCCAGAAGAAGAACGTCTATACGTTGTGGGTGCGGTACAAGAAGTCACCGCACTATCCGGCCAGTCGGATGCCCATTCCCGTGCGCTACGAGATGAGGGGCTACAACACTCTGCTGGGCTCCCACTACGACCATTACTATCTGGACTACGACAGCTATGAGCACGATGATATACCCAACGAGGTGTTCGAGATCGACGACAGCCTGCAGTGCGTGGGATTCCCCGGACCCGGTACCGGTCACTATGCCACCTTCAATCCCATGCAGGAGTTTATAACTGGAACCGATGAGCATGTGGACAAGGCCTTCCACCACTTCAAGCACAAGCATGGCGTCTCCTATCGCACCGACTCGGAGCACGAGCATCGCAAGAACATCTTCCGTCAGAATCTGCGCTACATCCACTCGAAGAACCGGGCCAAGCTTACCTACACGCTGGCCGTGAATCACCTGGCTGATAAGACCGAGGAGGAGCTGAAGGCGCGTCGCGGATACAAGTCGTCGGGCGGTTACAACACCGGCAAGCCGTTCCCCTACGATGTGTCCAAGTACCAGGACGAGATTCCCGACCAGTACGATTGGAGGCTGTACGGCGCCGTTACGCCCGTTAAAGGTGGGTAAAATCTTTACACTTCTTTACTTTTTTAAGATTTTATATTTTACGTTTATTTATTTTCTTGTGAATTTTATTTGTAAATGTATTTCATAATCTGTTATTGTTTTATACAGCTTTATTTGTCATAAGATGTTTAAACTGAAAATCTATAGTTTTGTTGTATTAATCATTATTTATTATCAGCTATTTTTGCAAAACAGGCATAATTAGGTTTTACCATTAATCAAGATAATGATTTGAGGAGTTTCTCTGCATTAGTGATTGTGTTTATTATAAATTAACTTGTATAATATAAAATACTAAAATACTTATTTTATCACAATACTTGATACTCAGATCAATCGGTGTGCGGATCCTGCTGGTCGTTTGGCACCATTGGTCACCTGGAGGGCGCCTTCTTCCTGAAGAACGGCAACAATCTTGTCCGGCTATCGCAACAGGCTCTGATCGACTGCTCCTGGGCCTTTGGCAACAATGGCTGCGACGGTGGCGAGGACTTCCGCGTATACCAGTGGATGATGGAGTCCGGCGGAGTGCCCACGGAGGAGGAGTACGGCCCTTATTTGGGACAGGATGGCTACTGCCACCTTAAAAATGTAACGCTGGTGGCACCAATCAAGGGATTCGTGAACGTGACCACCAATGACCCGAATGCCTTCAAGCTGGCGCTGCTCAAGCACGGTCCTTTATCGGTGGCAATTGACGCCTCACCAAGGACATTCAGCTTCTACTCGCACGGCGTTTACTATGAACCCTCGTGCAAGAACGATGTGGATGGACTAGATCACGCTGTGCTGGCTGTGGGCTATGGCAGCATTAACGGAGAGGACTACTGGCTGGTCAAGAACTCGTGGTCCACGTACTGGGGCAACGATGGCTATATCCTGATGTCAGCACGAAAGAACAATTGCGGTGTGATGACCATGCCCACCTATGTGGAGATGTAGATGAACCCTAATCTTTTTATTTTGTGTAATCTTTTTATTTTGTCGCCCCGAGGGCGCTAAATATGCAATACATTTTATGAACTCTTTTGTAATCTGCGTCTTTTGAGTCTTATCATTACTTTGGTTGGTCAAGGAAGGAGCTGAGTATAGCTTGATGTCTTGCCCCACTATCTTGGTATTCCATGATGTTGCTTAAGAGTATTCTATGGGGTGATAAGCTTAGAAGACAATGACCACTGCCCAGTTGAACTTTGTGCGAGTTGATCAAGTTTTTATTGGCTGGGATCTTTGCCATTTCTTGTGGAAATATTTATGTTTTAGCTTATCTTAATAGGTATCTTAGAACCACAGTTTAGAGGGTTCTAAAAAAATAGAATTTAATTATTTCAAAATAAATAAAAATTTCAAAAACTAAAAAAAACAATATATATCTTTGATGGTTCCTATCAAAATGAGATGTATTCAGCTCTTAAAAAAATTAATCCAAAATAAATAAATATGAAAATATTTGTTTTTTACTCTATTTAAACTCGCTCTGTATCTAATTACTCTACACTTGGGTTTCTTTTTTTTACAGTGTCGGTATGAGTACCAAATTCAAAAACAGTAACATCCATTTTTTCTTTGTTGCAAAATACTGCATCCCCTGGAATGGCGCCAATTAGTATTTTTCTGTTGTCGCACGACGGTCACACCGATCGGGGCATTAAATTTCATTTAAAACAGAAATTGCTTGAGTTCAAATAAACATGGCTATGGAGGATCTGATGAAGATGTGCCGCGTGTGCATGGGCGAGGCGGAGGATCTGGTGGACATCTACGACAACAAGAGTATGGAGGACGGCTTGTCCGCCGATCTAAAGCTGGCCAAGGAGCCAGAACCCACGCCTGCAGATCTCCTGAAGAAGTGCTGCCCGTTTCCGATTTCCCCGGACGACGGCTTCCCCATGAAGGTCTGCGAACCGTGCCTAAAGAAAATGCGGATGGCTCATCAATTTAGGAGGCGCTACGCGAAGAACATCGCCTACCTGGAGCGCGTAAAGGAGGAGCAAAAGGACCAGGAGACATTGGATATGCTGGAGGCCGAGGACTGGGGCCTGGTGGATCGCATCAAGAGCGAAGCCGAGGAGGAGGAGGAGGACGAGAACGAGAACCTTGAGCCAAAGAAAAAGAATCCCAAGCTGCAGACAGAGAAACCGCGACCCTTCAAGTGCAACGACTGCCCCAAAAGTTTCACCGGCAAGGCCCAGTTGACCATGCACAGTCGCACCCACTCCAAAGGAACCCGGAAGACGTCCACTCGTCCCAAACGACGGTCCATCAAATAGGATTCCCCGCCTGCGAATCGCGAGGCTTTAGGCTAGAAGCTTGGCAAGCCAAAAATGTATAATTTAAACACCCCAGACAAATAGTTGCTATTCTATCAACTGCATTCATCGCCTAGTTAGGTTCAATCATCTTGTTAATAATACTTTCATGGAAAAAAATCAGTTTTCCACTAAACTTTACTTAAAGTTTTAAAAGGAACTTCAAATATAGTTGTTACTGGTTTTCGTATCCCTATTATAAGAATGATAACATTACTAAAAAAAAAGTATAATCCCATGACATGCTTCTTAAATAAATAAGTTTCATTACACCAACTGATTTTGTATCACTAAAGCTCATTAATTGAAAATGGGATAAGCTTTTTTTAATATTTTCAAAAACATTGTAATGGATAAAGGAGCCTTTTTCGAACTCGGATTGTCTCTATTATTTCAGATACACATCAATTATTTTTAGCTGAACAAGTTAATGTTAATTCGATTCAATACTTTTCATTCAAACATTTTATTATTTCTTAAAATACTAGTCTTAAATAGTATTATAGTATTATAATTGCTGCTAGAGCAACAGTTTCACACTAGGTTGCAAGTTACGTGAAATTTGCAATAACTTAAATGCCGTTAAACTAATTTTTGAGAAATACATTTCGTAAAATATAATAATTATAGAGGAACACCAGAAATGAAATTGCATTTGTCATCATATTTCTAAAATTAAGGGATTCTTATTTAATAAAGTATTTGGTTATTCGATGATGATTAAATGCTACATAACAAAGACTTTTTAAGAAAAGTTAAAAGTCAATTGCACAGAACAGAAATCTTTATGTAAAATAATGTCAAGAAAGTGGCTGATATACAAATGATCGAAGATGATCTTAACTTGATGATCTTAAACTAAATTTGTTTTTTTAGATTTTTGGTTGCTGGGCTCGTACCTTACTCCGGTATGCACGATCATATGCTTCTGCAGGTTAATCTTTTGTATGAAACAACTCTGGCAAATGTTGCACTTGTAGGGCTTTTCGCCGGTGTGAACCCGGGAATGGACGTTCAGCTGGCCAATTTGCCGGAAACGGGATCTGCAGCCTGGGAAAGGACACATGAAGGGTCGTTCGCCGGTGTGGCAGCGCATGTGGGACGCCAGGTTACCCTTTTGGGAGAAGGATCGTGGACATTGGGGGCACTGGAAGGGCCGTTCACCGGTGTGAGTGCGCATGTGGATGCCCAGGTGCGTGTTATGGGCAAAGGATTGATCGCATAGTCGGCACTGGAAGGCTTTCCGAACCTTCTTCGCCTTGCTTTTTCTCGAGGCTCTCCAGGGTTCATCGTCGTCATGGTTCTGGTCACTGCCTGGACTCCAGGATTCGTTATCCGAGTATGATCTTGCCCTCTTGTTGACTGGCTGCATCACTGAAGAGTAGGTTGCCATGCACTCCTTGCTGTCCGGAGGAGTCGGTGGTGGTGGTGGAGCGCCCTTGGCACTGGGTTTCTCCCGGTATGTCCCCAACTTGTACTTCAGCTCCACGAGTTCGACGAAGAGTGGTTCCAATGGTTGGGGCTGGGGTGCCTCTGTCATACTCGACTTCTGCTTGGCATTCTCCTCCTCCACTTTTAGGCCCGCTTCGATGCTGTCCAGCTCCTGGATCATAACACGCAGCTGGTCAAAGTAGTTACGACTCTTTTGGCACTGGCGTCGCAGCCGAAAGGCGTTCCTCGTGGCCTTCGCGCACTCCACACAGATGAACTGCGGCATTCCGTCCGTCCTGGCCACGCTGCATCCGCTGCACTCGGCCAGCATGGTGGCCAAATGCGGCTGCTGCTCCTGGTCCCAGCTGGAGGAGGCACAGGACGCGGCGAACAGGTCCACCAGGCAGTCGGATTCGTCCCGGCAAACACGGCACATTTGCGAGATGTCCAGCATGACCGAAATCCAGTTGTTGCCAGGAAGGATCGGAAGTAAACAAACTCAACAAAAAGCCAGCTGGGAAATAAAATACCAAACGCCACAGTATACCAAATATACCAAAACGGCACTATATGGCGGTGTTTTTTGAAAATCTGTTTTGTTTCAGTTTTTTGTTTAATTTTTATTCAGATTTGAAATCTGGGATGATTGTTATTTTAATTTTAGAGAAAGCAATATGGATTTAATTTTTTCATATTTAGCGCACATGGTATAATAAAAAAAAACACATTGGTCATAAATGCTAGCGCCTTTTTTATTTTGAATAAGCTTTAAATATTAAACCTTTTTAAGAGTGATAACATTTATAATGTTACCAATAGCAAAGGAGTTAAAGTGGATATGATATTTTTTGATAAGAAAAAAATAAACACAAAAAAGCTGGAAAATGATTGAAAAAAATCCAACCAAACAGATGGAAGTTATTTGAAAAAAGCCAAAAATAACAAAACTGTAGTTTTTTTAAAACCTTTTTTTTGAAATTGTTTATTTTTTTTTTTTTTTGGTCATGTTTTTTTAGGCACTTTCCCTGTCCTCGCAAGCCATTTCTTTTAGTGACCGGTATAAAACTGGAAACAAATTTCAAAAGGTCCTTTAGAAATAAACAACAATATATTTTTGACAAAAATAACAACCAAAAAATAATTTGGTTTGGTTACCAAGACTTTATAAACTAGATACATATCTATTTGATAGATTATATATTCATTAGCTAACAAAAAAACGTTCAAATATACATATTACTAGGAATGACAAAATTGGACACAATCCAATCTACTTGGTATTGTACATGGAAGCGATTGCCGGATCCTCGGTCTCGTAGATGATGAGGACATCCCTGAACTTGTCCAGCAATTGCAGCAGCTGCGAGCGGCGCAGGTTCTCGAAATACATGATCTCCTCCAGGTGGTGCTCGCTCTTGAAGTAGCCCATCTGGTAGAGCTTCACCAGCAGCGACAGATCGTCGACATTGGCGGAGGCGGGAATGCGCCGGATAGCGGCACGATCCGCGTCGCTGAACACCTGTAGTAGCTCCTTCAACTTCTGTTCGTCCTCCATGGAATCGAGGCTGTCGCAGTTGTCTGTGCTCATCGAGGCGGTGATGCTGAAGTTGGACTTGTGGCTGGAGGACGGCTGCACGGCGATGTTGTCGGAGGCCAGTGACGAGTGATCCTCGGAGTTGTCGCGCCGATGGCCACCGACAGAGACCGCTGGCACGGGCAACGGTTGACTGGACATGCTCAGCATGGAGCCCCCATGCAGTTCATCCGCATCCGCATCCTGCTCCTGATCTCCCTCCTCGTCGCTGACAGCATCCCTCAGGTGATTACTGCAGGACGCAGAGTCCCCGAACTCATCCTCGCTGGGCATGAACTGCACATACGTGTGGAGTTGCATTAGCAGATGGTGTTGCAGCATCCAGATGACCATCTGTGCGAGGATACCCTGACGTGCCGGCTGCTGCAGGGGTGTGGTCAAGTGGCCAATAGACGTGGGCAGCGAGAAATCCGAGATCACCTCGAACAGCGACATGCCCGCAAAGCGAGCGGAGAACTTCTCCACCAGGTGGGACTTTGTGTGCAGTGGTGCATCTGGCGCTATCACATAGACGTTCGTTTCACACAGCGGATAGATAATGGTGGCCTTGGCCCAGTAGACCAAATGCGAGACCAGCTTGTACACATGCTCGATGCTCAAGTCCGCCTTGGAGGCCATGCTCTGCAGACTGATCAGCGGATCGTAGGCGTCCACGAGTTGCCACAGCATGCGTGCCCCGGTCGGCGGGACGCAGTCCAGCAACTCGGCAAAGTCCACGAGCAGCAGCATGCCGTGATAGGGCTTGAGGGCACGGAGACACCGATCTATGGTCTCCGGATCCACCATGCTGCCCTTCTTGTGCAACTGGTGCGCCTTGGCCGGCAGACAAAAGCAGAGCGTAAGGTTGTGATTCAGCGAGGTGCTCAGCAGGCCGGTGGTGCACAGGTCGTGGAAGATGGAGCGCAGGGCTTGCGCCAAGCTACAGCGTTCGGCAATCAGCTCCAGCGTGCGTTCCAGCGGCTGTTGCTGCTGCTCGTCGTGGGTGCGGGCCATGTGGGCCGTCTGCTCGGTGAGATAGCCACTGCGCTGCTCCTCGAACTTCAGGGCCAGCCCCAGACGCTTGCTCAGTTCGTGGTAGCACTTTACAATCGAATAGCTGGCCTGGGCGTGAAGCGCAAACACAATGTTGATCAGCATCTGCTGCTTGGCCATCGCCCCGCTCCTTTGCTCCTTGTGGGGAATCAATGTGGGATGGCTCACAAACCGCACATCGTTCAGTTTGAGCTCGAACTTCTGATTGCAGAGCTGTGGTTTCACGGCAAACAGAGCGGATAGCACTTCGTCGGCGAATCCCTGCAACTGGCCTTGTCCCTTGGAAGCCCCCAAGTGCGTGGGCGTCTGCAGCAGGTCGTCCACATGGGCCACGGCATATGGATTGCGCTTCCTGTGGCCGAATATATAAGTTCAATTTTATAACAAGCTTCTTAATTCAAACACCAACCTTGACTTTCGCTGCTCGTCGCTGGCCTCCGTTTGGCCAAGTGTTTGGTATGGATACCTGTACAATAGACGATCTCCCTTGCTGTCGAAGTAAACGAGGATTACGGCCAAGGGATTCACATTCGTCTCCATGGCGAAAAGTCCTGACTTCAAGAATGCCCTTTCTTTTTGAACCCTAGGGTGGGTGAACAATAAAAAGATTATTAGCCGAGGTTCATATAGTTTTACCCATCTAGATGGACTTTCTGAATCGTCTTTTCCACCAACAAAAAGATGTGAAAATGCTAAACAATTCCGCATATACCTTAAACTTGCAGCATAGAGATTACCGTGCTATCAAATTAAATATAATATTTCATTATTAATTAAGATTTTGCAGCAGTGTGGCCTCTTCTACTTTCGCTAAAAATCTCATATTTGACGGTCAAATATAAAAAATAGTAAACTTTACAAAAAATAAATTTTACACTATTTCCAAAAAATTGAAACACAAACAAAATAATAAATAAAGTTTTAAAAACAAACGATGGACGGTTTTTCTGTATTTTTCGACATGAGCGATACTACATATACATAATGATTAAAATAAATTAAATAATATTTGTACTTTTAGAAATTTCCTAATTTTTTAGTTTTTATATATATGTAGGCATTTAGATTAGTTTCTAGCAGTGTTATAATCAAAGTACGGGGTTAAAAGTGCGCGAAAACTGCAGTGGTGGTTTTTGGGGTGACCTTTTTTCAAAGTTTAATTTTCAATTATCGTTACAGATCGAAAACCATCGATAGCGACCTGCCAAACATCGGTACAACCGATATTTTTTAAACATCGATGACATCGACGAAGCATCGATGTTTCGCCACCTCTATAATTTTTTAGAAGCGGAAAGTTGTGAGCAAAACGCGTGGAATTGTGCTCAAAACGTCAACAAAAAATTTGTGAAAATAAATGGAAGCATAGTATGCGAACGCGCCAATCGCAGAACTATGAAATTCCACCGTGAAACGTGTTAGTTTTGGCTGCAAAAGCACTTTTAACTTACGTTTTCCTATTAGCGTGTTGGAAAAGAGGAAAACACACACAATGTGAGAGGCAAAATACGTGCGGTGCGTAGGTGGGAGCGAGACGACGCTAAACGTGTACTAGCCGCGGTCTATATATACATATATATAGTATTCGTGTGAGTGTAGGAGAGGTATAAAGAATTGTACAAAAAGTATAGTTTACTTGACTTTGCGCTCCGTTTCGGAAATAATTTCCTACTCTTAGGCCAAAAGGCGCCCAATAAGTTCATTTTGACTTATTGTCATTACTCTACAGTTTCATTTATTGGCCTTTGCCTACGTTTGTGTATCTGGCGATTGCAATTTTTTTTGCAAAAATGCATTTTGTTGGCTGTTTGGAATGTAAATACCTCGTAGCCGAATAGTTAATAACATTTAACTATTTTGTTTTTTGTGTATATGTGCGCCAATATCCGTGTGTATAGATTTTACACATACCTACATAGAAAGGCATGCACAGATATACGTTTGTGTGAGTATCAACGAATAGGCGGAAAGGCGAAATCGAAATATGTACGTACAGCATTTCGGAATGGCCAGGCGCAGTAGTAATAGGCTAAAGAAGGGACACAGCGCAACACAAAAATGAAGAAGAAGAAACAGGGCAGCTCGGTGAACAAAATAAAATAGCCGATAATAGACAGTTGGCATGCCTGGGCCACAGGCCAGAACGGTCACACTAGATGTTCGCTTGGCTCAACAGACTACTCGTCTCACTCCCACACACGCCTTTTGCCCCATTCGAATATGTGTTTTTCTTGCGCGTTTTATCTTCTGTTTCTTGTGCCATACGGTATTAATAATAATAAAATTGATTAATCAAAGTAGAAACATTTTGATTTCTGCAGGTAGTAAACGTTCAAAACAACGTCGCGTCGTTACTTGAATGCTACGAATCGACAATGTGCAACAGAACAAAAAAAACAAGTGTCCAAATGTATACAAATCCAATTGTATTATAAAAATTGAATTAAAAAGTTCTGAAAGTAAAAACAACGTAGCTCACCGTCAAATTAAACTGAGTTGTGCAAAATGAAGTGAAAATGCAAAATTAACATAGTAAACGGTGAGTATAACGAGTTTGTGTGTGAGTGCGCGCCCAAATCGTTAAGTTGTTCTTGAATCGTTTAACAATTCCACAAATAAGTTATATAAATAATTCGGCTCCCAAGTGATTGTTTCTGACTCAATGTTGTTTCAAACAAGTTAAATATTCCATTTGTTGATGCCTTCATTGTCTTGCTTTTTTTTTTTTTTTTTTTTGTATACTGTGTACTGTGTGTCGCCATATTTGATTGCATATTTTTCTCCACACTGGCCGTCTATATAGCGTTCTCGCTTGCACACATTCGCGGGTTCATTTGTTTTGCTTTCGATTCCGTTTTGTGCAACGTGAAGTTATGTATGTGCGTAGTAATGAACCAGCACAGCGTTGCCAACTCGAAGCAAATGTTTTGTTCAATTTTATTTTAGTTTGTTTTGCTCTAGCGGCTAAAGTTGTGAAATAATTTAGTTAGATTTCAAATCGGCACACCCTTGCCGTATTTCCTTTCCAATGTGTATGCCGAGAATATTTGTTGTCTTCTCCAATGTTTTGACATGCGCATCAGCAGGTCAAGACAATAGACAACAAATCAGCACTTAAAGTGCACTTAAATATTTGAAGGTCCGTTTTCATCGCCGACAAAGCCTTATTGTTCCAATATGCAGAAATTAAAAACAGAACAATTTAGATTTCATTCCCTATTCTACCGTCTTGTTTTCGTCAAAATTTTTATTGAGTGTTCTCGTTGTTTCTACGCCTATACGCCATGAAGTTGGCCGCAGTTAACGGTGCGCGAGTGTGCGTTTGTAAGCGTTCAATATGTTTGTCCCGCTCTTGCCCACGGGCATTGCTCCAATGTTCCTGTTCTGCTCTTCGCGCATACGTGATTTTTGCAATTGTTATTTATGCCCTGCGCTCTCTACGCGCGAATTTTCGCCACAAAATGAAAGCAAAAGTTGATAGACAACTTTTTGCACTGCGCTCGTTTTAAGTTATTTTCTGCGCAGCGCAGACCATCGAACAAATGGAAATTCGCGAAAGCAAGAGGCATTGGATAATTCCAAGGGTTGTCGCGGTTTCAAAACCAAACCCCCCTCCACTCAGGTTCTCGTGTAGGTGTAATTAACTGATGTCCATAGTCTTTGAATGAAACTTGGATTTATTCCCCATTGGAAACTCTGATCTATTTAAGCACTGTAGCCGTGCAGCGACAGCAAATAAATAAAAATGAGACGCAATTAGTTGACACTGCAAACTATAACAAATAGGTAGTATGCAAAAGCTAAAGCCCATTTTCTGGCTGTAGTTTGTGTCAATGAAAGTACAGCCAAAGCATTGCCAATATTATTGTGCAGTCACGTAGTCCATTGGTCAACAAACTAATATGAGCAGCATTACTATTTTTAATTGTAGGTACAATTTTATTCGAAAGATCACAATAGAAGGCTTTCTCTTTTCCTCACATTCGATTGCGTGTGTGTGTCGATAAGCTTTGTATTTGTTCTACATCATCTAGCGATGCAACAAAAGCCATAGCAATAAAAACACTAACACGATGGCAGGGGCGGATGTGTAGTGTATATAAGGGGAGATTTTCAAATTATTTTATTTTAAACATATAAGTATAATGTTTCTGTGTTGTTGTTAAAATGGGGGTAACTATTGCTAGGGAGCCCTCTTAGATCCGCCTCTGTATAAAAGTTTTCATGTGTGTTTGTGCGATAAGTTTTCAACGTGCATTTGCAGCACGATTTACGGAGATCTGCTGCTGTCTTGCTCACACCCACGACTCGATAATGGGTCCGAATGGGGCTTACTTTGTGAGCTTGTGTGAAATTTGTTTATGGCGCGCATTTTACTTGCTGCTTTTGTTGTTGTTTTTGTTGGGGTTGGGGTAGGGTTGACTCTCGCACACGTGTGCATGTGTGTGTATTCCACCTTCTTTCCGAGGATGAGAGAATCAAATTCTCCTCCGTCCCTCTTTCGCATGTGTATTTTTAACTAGAGGCGTTGTAAGATTCGTTGTAAATGTTCAGATAAAGCACCAATGCTAATGTGTGTGTGTAACCCAAATCAAATCTTACTGCAGCCCATTTGTACCGTTATCTGGTCGACTTCTCTTTATTTCCCATTGAGAAATATGAAGTGAAACATGAAACGGATATGAGAAACGCTTACTACTACAATCGATAACGTTCTAAGCTCACCTTCCATGGTTATATAACACCCTTTGAATCTGCAAAATCCGTTTATCGATTAGTTTTGGCGGACTTTACATAATTGCATATAGTATGTACAGAAAATAAACAAAAGGTTACATAAACTATTCCCAGATTCACTATTCAATTGGGGAATCAATTGGATGCTCCCTATTCTCTGTTTCAATTAGAAATTGTATCTACAATAGGCGCAAATTGGCAACCAGCACAACCGCTATTACACACACACAAACGCAGGTGGAATATATCCAAGTGCAAGTTGCCTGCCTGTGCAATGTGTAATAGATACAAGAAACTGAAAAGCCAGCGACAAAAGCAACGACAAAAAAAAACCCAACAACAACTAGCGATGAATGCCGCGCCGGATGCCAAGGCGAAATTAGTGCATTCACTTTTCGCTCCGCTTTGCTTTGGCTCTCTGCTTTGCAATGCGAACGACGAGGCACGCAAAAAGGTGCAATAAATTAGAGAATTAGAGAAACTGTTGGCAAAACATGACAAAATATTGACGTCTTGAAGAAGACCAAACTATGAGGTTTTAGATTAGAGGTTAATTGCTTTAAACTTAAAGTTTAGAGACAAAACCAAAAATAAAAGGTAAATCAGTTTAAAAATCAGTTCACTATTCGGTATCGCTTTTTAAACACTAAATTATTAGTTTTTCTAATCCTTATAAAAACATTTAAGATACCAGGAACATGTAGATTTCTAAAACCTTTAATATTTTGAAAAGTGAAAATGCCCACTATCTCAAGAAGTTAAATACTTTGAGGAATATTCAAACACTATATTTGAGGGAGATGTTTGGGTGGCTTGTACATATATTGAAAAAAAGTGACAAATTACATATAAATATAGAACCTTAAAATTATTATAATTGAATGAAATAAATTAGATCTAATTCGTCACATTAGAACTCAAAAATATGGGATGCATTTTACGGTGGAAAATTTCATTAGCAATGCGCATAAACAAAGAAAAATATAGAAAAACTGGTTTCCATAAAAGCAAAATGCACAAGTGCTAAACGTTGTTGCTGTTTTTTATTCGCCAAGGGGGGGGGGGAGGGTAACACTACGCACACACATAGAGAGTCGTACAGGCACACGCACACAAGTGTAAACAATGCACAATCCCTTGCTTGCCTATGGCGCACCTTTCGCACTGCTTTGAGCTTTGCTGTTTCGTTGCTTTTCCGCTCCCTGATGCTGCGTTCAAGTTTACAGCAAGTGCAGCAGCCCCCACGAAGCAAATTCCGAAAGCGTAGACGAAAATACATACGAAGAATAAACGCGGATATTGATGTTTGAAGTGCGCATGCGCATTTTTGGCGCCCGTTGGCAGCGCTGTGCTTTTTATTTTATTACATAACGCCTATTCAAATTGCAGTTGGCAATGCCACCCATGGACGATAGAGATGAGTGCCTGCCTCCTTGAGTTTATCGATAATGACAGGTTGAGAATTTAGAATTAAGGGTATTTCCTTAATCTTGTAATTTCCGTTTCTTAAAAACGAAACATTTAATTAATCATATTGTTTTAATATTAAAAATAATTAAAAGGGGTTCGTTATAGTTTTTTGTGCTTACTAAATGAAGTATGTCTAGAATTTTATTTTTAATTTATTGTTAGTAACATAACTTTTATAAAAAACACATATAACTTTTGTTTGTCCAACTAGTTACTTAATTCCTCTTTTTGTTTTGGCTCATTGCAGAAACAACGAAGGATCGTTTATATGAATACCGTATCCCCAAAATACAAGTTGCAACGTACAACGACGGACAACAACGCAAAATATATAGGGCGGGATTATCATCTATACAAGACAGGATCAGGTTCACGATAAGGGTCCAGGTTGCGAAGTAGAGGAAGCAACAGCGAAGGATCCAGGAAGCAAGCAGAGGAAGTTGTCGAACCTTTCGCAGCGTTATGATTGTGATGGCTGACAATGTGATGTGGCACAGAGTTGGAAATCGTCTATGCAAATCGAGCGCGCACCACCGCCTACGCCTACAGTTGTTACCACAGGGAGTGTCAGCCTCCGTCCTCCGTGCCAGAGCCAGAGGTTATGCTTTGAGCCCCCAATGTTTTGGGGGCACGTCAACGAAGGACCAACATCGTCAGCAGGAGCAGAAACTGCAGCAGCAGAACCGGCAGCAACATGACGGCTTTGCCTGTGAAGTAGTGTTGTGAAATAGAAACTAAAACAGAAACCGATACCGAAACCGAACTCTACCAAGCGAGTGAACTCTCAAGCCGATTAAGGCATCTTCCCTCTAAACACACGTTTAATTTTAGTCCGCAGACCGATCTGCAGCACCAGCACCACCATGCCCATGTCCAGCCACGACACGGTCTTCGTGGAGCCCGCCGTCAGCAGCAGTGGCGGCGGAAGCACGAGCAGCATCAATCGCGTCGGAGTAGCCGGTGGCCCCCAGCCGCAGCCTCCACACATCGTCATCGATGGCAGCAGTCTCTCTACGCAGGCACAACTGCAGCGCATCATGCAGCGTCGCATGTCGATCAGTACGCGCCAGATCCTCACCGCCAGTCAGTCCCAGTCGTTGAATCCAACGCAAAAGTATGCAGTGCGTACGGCAGCCGGAACCGGAGCACTGGCCGCAACGTCAGCAACTTCGGCCAGTTCCGGCCAGGAGCTGATCAATCCCCAGATCTACAAGATTGTGACCACTGACGGTAGCACCAGCAACGTCATAATCGACGCCTCGGCTGCGGCGCCGCCGCACAACTCAAAACTCCTGCTTAGCAATCTCACGGTGCTCTCCAAGCAGGGGCCAGTCCAAGGAGGAGCCGCCCAGCAGCAGCAGCAGATCAACTATTTGGGTGCCAAGAGTCTGCCGTATGTGACGGCATCGCCGGCAAAGCCGCAACAGCAGCCCCAGAAATTCGGGAGCATTAGCGCTTTTAAGGCGCAACAGCAGCAGCCACATCATCCGCATGCCACACTGCAGAAGGTGACTTTGGGCTCCCGCGTCGCCACCCGCCTGCAGTCTTATGTCCCGGCCACTCCGTCGCAGATAATGGTGCAGCCGGCACAACCAAAGTTTGTAAGCGCCACGGCTACAGCGTTGGGTGGGAATGCAGCTCTTCTAAAGAAGGCCAATCAAAAGATCACGGTGAAGAGCGTGGGCAACATGTCGCAGCAGCAGCAACAACAGCAACAACAACAACAACAGCAGCAACATCAACTACAAGCCCAGCAACTGAAAACCTTTATCACGCAGCAGCAGCAACAGCAGCAAACATACAAGGCGGGGGCCAAGGCAAAGTTTGTTAAACAGACGACTGCCCTGTCCATTGCTGCCCTGCCCCAACAGCAGCAGCAGCAGCAGCAGGGTACCTATACCAAACAGCCAATGGTGTCAACGCCCACGCCCGCCAAGGTCACCAAACTGAACAGCAAGTATGTGCAACAGCAGATAAGTCTGCCGCAGGGAACGCAACTGCAGCACAAGACGACGCCGAATGTTGCCGGAGGAGGATACCTGCTGCAGCAGACTCAGGCTGCTGGCGGAGGAACCATCAAGTTTGTCAACTCGCATGGCACCGTCATCCAGCAGCATCCCCAGGCGACGAAGCGCACCCACTACAACAGCAGTAGTAGCAGTGAAAACGAGCAGCATTCGGCGGCCAACTCCTCACTGATCACCGACGACGTGATGATCGTCAACGGCACTCAGATGACCGACGAGTTGTCTGCCCGGATCCTGCAGAGCATGGCCCAGAAGTCGTTTGGTCAACAGCAGCAGCGATTTCAGTCGGTGCCAGCCACGGGCAGCAGCAACATGCCGCCTCCCACCCAGATCATTTACAGCAACAGTAGCAGTAGCAATGGGCCAGCCGCCAGCAGTCCCGGCGGAAATCCTCCAGGAAATCTTCTGCTTGCCCACTACCAGGCAGCCGGTTCAAAGCCGGTCTCATCGGCTTCGTTCCTCACTGTTACGGGAACGCCTCCGGTTACGGTGGCCACCACGCCGTCAGTGAGCATATCCTCGCATGGCTTTGCCAGCGGTAGCGCGGCCATCTCCTCCTACATGTCGTCAGCGACGGCGGCGCGCCGTCAATCGGTTAGCGCGCCCAGCAGTAGAGCAGTGTCCCTGGAACGGAAGCAGCACCAGCAACACCAACACCAGCAGATGCAGCACGAGGTGATGAGTGGCGGACGGAAGGCCATCGAGTATTACAACAAGCTTGGGTAAGTGTTTGCATGTCCATGCATTTAGGGATCTAATTAGTAACTCATTTACTATACCATTCTGTAAAAGATAAATAAGTTGTTGCCGTAAGATAACAATCGCTCATTTTTAAGGTAATAGTTTATTTAAAAATCAATCACAGAAAATTCTATTAATTTTCGAGTTTCATTTTGCTTTGTGTACAAAACCTGACATTTTCTTTATTTATTGCATTTTGAGCTTTCAAATGTAAACAATTTAGAATCGATTTGTCTGTCAAATGTGTCGATACTTAGGATGATCGATTGCCAATTTTTTACAAAAGCATCGATAGTTGGCTTTCTCTAGTGTCAAAATTCGTATTTACACCTATCGGCTAACTGCTCAGTTGTCTTGCAGTAGGAGAATTAGTCTCGCCAATGGCAAAACGCAGTGACATTTTCAAGAAAGTCCGAATCGCAGTCACTAATTAATAATCAATCCGTGAATTGCAGCGTCAACAGCATCGTCGGCAGCAGCAGCAGCCTCACCCAAAGTAACAGCATGAGTAATCTCGGAGCGCTGCGGAGCAATAGTGGCAGCGGATTCGCCACGACCACTCCAACGCCAGCAGCGCCTCTTCACCTGACGCAGCTTAACGTTCCAGTCCACGTGGATGCCGCACCGCCGTCGTCGCCAGCACTGGTCAAGATTGCGTCTCAGGCTTCGGCTTCGGCGCAGTCGCAACAACAGTCCTATCCCTTGGGACACAACCAACTGAATGCCAACGATGAGGAGCTGTACATCGAGGAGGTGCGTCCAGTGCCAGTGCTCACGCAGGATCTACGCCTCCAGCAGCTGCACGCCATCATGCAGGACCACACGTACGCCTCCCAACAACAACAACAACAACAGCAGCAACAGTCTCAGCAGACAACAGGGGATACCACGATCCTGGGAGCAGCACAGCAAGCTCAGCAGCCTCAGCAGTGGTCGCTGGGTGGAATCGGTGTCACGGTGGCCGGTGGTCAGACCACGCCCACAGCTGCAGGCGGATATGCCAGCTACTATGGCCAGCAAAGTAAGTATAGATGCAAAACTGCACACTAAACCCCTAAAACATAAATTCAGAGCTAAAACGTGTCACATTGCTATGCTGAAGTTTAAGTTAAAAGACAACTGTCAAAGGAGTTTTACATTTGATTCAAAAAAAGATAACCAAATATGTTAATTGTAATTCTTTTTTATTAATAAAATTTTTAATCCTCACTGATTTAACTATTAATACTAATCTAATTATGATTTTGTTTTATATAGTTCCACGGCATGTGGCAGATGATGATGCCCACTCAGCTATCAGCAGCAGCTCCCGCTTGGGACTGACCAGTACAGACATTGATCCTGGCGAGGAGACGGAAACGGCACCCGAAGCTGAGGCCGAAGACGACTCCGTGACGCGCTGCATTTGCGAACTTACCCACGACGATGGGTATATGATTTGCTGCGACAAGTGCTCGTATGTATCTTTAAAGTTCAAACCAGTTGTAGTTGTGAATGTATTCTTTGATTATGTGTACCCACAATTTTTATACCACTTGATATTAAGAACTACCTCCCTTTTATCTTTTTAAAAAAATATTCAAAAGCTAACCACATATGTTTTTTTCTTATAGGGCCTGGCAACACGTGGACTGCATGGGCATCGACCGCCAAAACATCCCGGAGGAGTATATGTGCGAACTGTGTCAGCCACGTGCGGTGGACAAAGCGAGAGCTCAAGCACTGCAGCGACAAAAGCGAAAGGAGCACATGCTGCTGGTGGCCACGCAAGCGGCCAATGGAGCTGCAGCCGTGGCGGCAGGAACAACGCTCAGCGTTGGACTCGGTGGTGGATTGGCAATGTCTGAGGAACTGCAGCACAGGTTGGCATCGGGCCTGAATGGCGGATTCGCCACGGGTACCGGCATGTCCAAGAAGACGAAGAAAACCAAAGAGAATGCGGTTAGTAATTCCGCCTTGAAGAAAACCAAGAAGAGCGGTGTGGGAATGGGTGGCGAGAAGAGTGGCAGTGGAGGTGGTGCCACCTCCGGCAGTGGCGGCAAATCGAGTAAGAAGAGCAGCAAACGCAAGAGCAAGTCCAGCGGCGATGGATCGTGTGGCGGAGGCAGTAGTCCCGCTTTGACGGCCGCCGAAAAGCACGCCGCCAACCTGCGCCAGTGGATCGAGCACTACGAATATGCAGTGACCAATCACTATTCGCCGGAACTTCGGGCGCGCCTCCATGCCATTCAAAAGCAACCCAGCTTGCTCCAAAGCATACAAAACACGGAGAACAAGGCGTTGCGGCAAATTCAGCAGCAACTGTCGACGGCCGGCAGTAGTGAGCAGCTTGAGCAACGCGCTCAGCTCATTCCGTATGCGGGCGCCAAAGTTCTCATCAGCAGCATGGAGTTGGCTCCACATGCCCCCATCCACGAGTTACGCGGCAAGTACATGCTGACCACCCAGTTTCGCACCCAGAATCCCACCGTCAACATGAACACGCCGCCGCCCAGCAACTACCTGAATAGCTTCAAGGCGCACAAGACGCCGGGTCAGTTTGTCTTCTTCTACCAACTTCCCGGCGTGGAGGCGCCCATGCAAACGCTGCGGCCGGATGGAAGTGTGCCGCAAGTGACGCAGCAACCGCCCTCTTATCTCAAAGGTCCGGAAGTGTGTGTGGATACGCGGACGTATGGCAACGATGCCCGCTTCGTGCGTCGCTCCTGCCGGCCGAATGCAGAGTTGCAGCACTACTTCGAGAAGGGAACGCTGCACTTGTTTATAGTCGCACTGACGCACATACGTGCCCAGACGGAGATAACGGTGCGCCACGAACCGCACGACCTGGCCGCGGTGGAGCAGAAGAAGTCGCACGCTGCCGTCATTCAGCCCACGAGTACGCGATGCGCCTGCGACATGGGCAGTGACTGCCTCTTCGCCCTTCCGCTGGCCGTGCAGCAGCAGCTTCAGGCTCCGCCGGCACAGCCCAGGAGCAGTCATCGGAACAAGGCGGCTGCAGTGGCGGCGGCCAACAGCGCGGCAGCCATACAGTTAACCATGGGATTGGGCGTGGGTGCGGCGGTGGCGGCTGGAGCGGGTGTTTTGCCCAATTCCAGGAATCGTTCCACCTCCTCCAGCGGCGAGAGCAGTCAAATGGGACTCAATAGTCCGCAACTTGGGCAGTTGAATCTGGGCTTCAAGCCCTCGCCGACGGCAGCATCGCTGACGGCGCCCGTTCCCGGAGTTCACTGCAACAACAGCGGCGGGAGCAGCAGCAGCAGCAGCAACAACTCCTGCTCGGTGTCCATGTCCAGTGTGCTGCATGACTCTGGCATCTGCACGTCCTCCTCGTCGCCCTCGGTGTCCATTCCCTCGCCCACGCCCACCCAACTGCAGTCGCCGACATTGCAGCATCATTCGCACCAGGTGCCGCAGCAGCAATTATCGCTTTTGCAGCGGAGTCCCACTCAACAGCATCAGCAGCAGATCCTTGCTGCGTTGCCCACGCCTATGCTCACGCCGATGCTTTCACCGCAGTTGCCCAAACCGGTGCAGCAACAGCAGCAGCCGCATCAGCAGTCACATGTTGTGTTGCCATTGCCGCGGCAATCTTCGTTGCTGCAGCAGCAGCAGCAACAACCGCAGCAAAATCAGGAGCCGTTGGCTGTAATTGCAGCCGCTGCCGCTGCCCAACAACCCATGGCCACCTATTTCGTGCGACAACCCCAGCAACAACTATCGCCACAGCCGCAAGCCGTGGTGACCCAACAGCAAAATGTTGTAACCCCACAACAGCAACAGCAGCAACACTTCCTGCAACAGAAACAACAACAACATCAACAGCAGCAGCAACAAATGGCAGATGAGGCTAGAATGGCAGTGAGTGCTTTGCAAACTCTGCATGCTGCCCCCACTTCGCATATAGTGACGCCCATCAAAGTGGCCACAGTGCAGCAACAACAACCGCAGCCTCAACATCAGCAGCAAACTCACCAGCAGCAAGTACATCAACAGCAAATAGTTCAACAACAACAGCAACCACAACAACTTCAACAACAATCGCCGCAACTGAACTACCCTCAATCGCCGCAACGGCAGCAAAAACCTCAGTCGATGCAACATCAGCCGCAGATAATCTTTTCAAGCGGAGCTCAGGCAATACCGGTGACCACGCCCACGAAATTAAGTTCACCCACAAAGAGTGTGGCGCCTGTGATGAGCAACAACAACAACAACAGTAGCATAAATATCGGTGCCCAAGCATCGGTGGTTGGGGGAAAGAAAACACCTGCCAAGCAGCAGCCACAACAACCATTGACTCCGGTTTCTGGCGCCACAATTCCAGCAGCAACTCCTTCGCCAGCCGAGTCCAAAGAGGATGATGTATCGTCCAGTGTCACTACGACTCCAACCACTCGCACGCCGGCCAAGGATAAGCCGAAACAGTCGCGTGAGGATCGCAAGTTGGAAGCCATCCTGCGAGCGATTGAGAAAATGGAGAAGCAGGAAGCTCGCGGCAAGAAGGAGACACGTCAGAGCAGCGGTGGCAAGCGGCAGGCGAGCAACTCGCCCGCCTCGCCCAACAAACGGGGCAGCTCCAATTCCATCAGTGAGGATGTGGACACGCCAACTAGTTCTGCCTCCTCGGCGGCTGCTGCCCAGCGAAGGAATAAGAAGAAGCGTAAAGTGAGTCGCAGCTACAACAACACCACGAATGGCATGGGCTCAGGCGGGGGCAGCAATAACAAGCGGAGGAAGAGCATCCTGGTGGAATCCGATGGTGATTCGCATGCATTGACTAACTCGGAATCGGAGGATCAAGTGCAGTCACATCCACATCCGCAGCACAGCAGATCAGAGGATCAGGCGGCAGGTCTTCTCCTGGCATTGGCCCACAACAACAATGCCTCCCCCAATGAGTCATTCAAATCGCCCTCATCGCAATCGCATTCTCTACCCGCAACTCCGGCCTCCGTGAGCAGCGCTTGCCTGCTGATCGAAGCGGCCATGGGCCCGTTGGAACAGCAACCGGCGACAGCATCACCCTCCCTGGGCGAATTTAAGTTCCCGCCCGGCGGGGCCAAGACCAAGAAGACGCTTATGTCCAATTGGTTCCAGCAGGCGGAACAATGCGAGCAGCAACACGCCTCCGGATTGGACAGCCTGGTGCAGGCGGCCATGAGTGAGATCAACGGCGAACGCGAGCAGCTGCATCACCAGGCCCAAGGCCAGTCCAATCTACTCAAGGTGGAACAGTTCATCCATCAGGCGGAGTCGACCACTGCGGTCACTGCTCGCGAGCAACTGCATCTGCCATTGCAAAACAACTCGTCAGTGAAGAAGCGCTGGCTACGGCAGGCCATTAGCGAAGAGACCACTCCGGTTGACGAACTGCAGCAGCAGCAGCAGCAGCAAAATCAGTCTGCAGCTGCCACGCCCTCGCCTCAGCCGGTGCCCACGGTGTCGCCTCTGGCGAACGGATTCGGTACGCCTCTGAAGAAGCGGCGTCTGGTGGTGATCAGTAATGGATCGAATGTGGAAGCCGATGAGCCGCACATCGATGTTATCGGAGACCCCAAGGAGGAGGCAGAGGACAATGTCGTGATGCCTGCACTGAAGGTGGAAACAGAACACCAACACAACCAGGAGCAGGACGACGACGTGGACATCCTACGTTCGCCCAGCCCGGGAACTCATCAAATAGTCGCCGAGGATAATCTCGTTAAGATCGAACCCGAGGACACGAGTGCGGCGGCCGATGACGTCAAGATCGATGTGGAACGCGAGGAGAGCCAGGCCTGCGACAAATTCGAGGAGATGGTCAAGGTGAAGCGCGAAGAGGAGGAGCAACGTGAGCAGCAAAACCAGCAGCTGCAAGAACGCCAGGAGCCACAGCTTCAACAGCAACCCAAAGTTGAAATCTCTGCAGTGGAAACGAAACTGGAAAACACCGTGGTCAAAGCGGCTCTCAAAGTGGAGACAACACCACCAGAGCTAATGGCACCCAAAGTGGAAGCGGCGAAGGTGGAGCCCAAGCCGGGCGAATCCCTGCTGCGCCCCACAGCGATTTCAGTTGCAGCGGCCGCAGCAACAACCGCGGCAGCAACTCTGCTCGATGTGGGCAAAGTGGTTGTCAAGACTAAGCCAACACCACCGCCTCTTAAGCTGGAGGATGAGCCGCAAAAGAAGAAACCCAAATTGGAGGCAGCACTACCATCAACTACATCAACTTCAATTGCAGCTCCGCCACTTTCTGGACTATCCATGCCAGCAGCAGCCACAGCGACGACGACAACAACAACCATGACTGCATCGGCAACTGGCGCTCCGAGTACCAAAAATCTCACCGAGCTCGATATACAAGAACGATTGCTCTCCTTCCATGCAGCCAACATTTCCTTCCTTCAGTCGAGAAACAAGAAGGCTACCACCGCAGTCTCGTCATTCACTTCCTCTTCCGCTCAGAAGAGCAATAGTAGTAGTGGTGGCAGTGGTGCAGAGTCGAAGAAATCCTCCAAGGATAAGGACGAGAAGCGCGACAAGGAGAAGCAGTTGAAAAAGTCCAAGAAGGATAAAAAGAAGTCCAAGGATAAGGAGAAGCAAAAGGCGGCTGCTCATGCAGCACCACAAATCGTTGAGACGAAGAAGAAGCCATTGTTGCCGGCAAAGTCAGAGAGCAAATCCTCGCCAGCGCCGATCCTAGTGCCACCTAGTGTGCCAGCTGCTACGGCGAACGGAAAGACCAAGCACATGACGCACAACAATGTGGATCAGCAACAGCAGCTGCAGCAGCAGCAGCAAATGAGGCGTCGCACCATGTCCATGTGCATCACCCCAGTCACACCCACTCCGGTGTCCATGGCCGCAACACCGCTGGGCACGCCGCCAACAACTAAAAAGCGTCAGACCAACTTTGAGCAGGAGCTGACCAAGCCAAACAGCCAGATCCTGAGCAGCAGCATCCTACTGAACAGCAGCAAAGGTTTGGGCCTGCCGCTGGCCACGCCTACAGTTGTGGGCATGCCCACGCCTATTCAACAGCAGCAGCACCGCAAGGAGAACAACCACCAGGAGGCGACACCCGCCGCGAGTGGCGGAGGCATGAGTCTGGCGGCTGCCATTGCTAGCGGCAAACTAACTGCCATCAGCCGGCGGCGGGAGTCCATGTGTGGCAGCCGGCAGCAGGCGCTCATTGCGGCCGCCTTGAAGAAGGAAAAGAAGGAGAAAAAGAAGAGCAAGAAAAAGGACCGCGAGAAGCAGAAGCACGAGAAGCAAAAGGGCAAGGACAAGGAAAGGGAAAAGGACAGCAAGGATGGCAAGCAGAAGACGAACCACATACAGAAGGCGGCTCTTTCGGCTCCAGTCACTCCCAGCCCGACACCAATTTCCATTCCGACAGTCACTCCAGTTGCAATTCCCACGCCCCTAGTGACGCCCAAGGCTGCCCCCATCCCCGTGTTGATAACCCAGCCCACGCCGACAGCGATCCATCCCGTTCAACCAATTGTCAACAATTGCACCACCAAGGTGGCGCCGTTGCCCTTCTACAACACCATCTACGGCAAGTTGCAGGATCCGCCGGCACCGAGCAGCATCGCCAGTCCCGCCACCACCAACACTATGCCCAGTCTGGCCGAATATCTGGAGTCTACAAAAGCCTCCAAGGCTTTACCGGCCGCATCGCCGGTAGCCAAAGCCGCCAGTGTGGCAGCAGCAGTTACGCCAGTTGCTGGCACCCCAGTTGCAGCTGCATCCGTTGAAATGCCACCTCCGGCAACCACACCACTTAAGTTGTATACACGGACTGCCAGCCATGATCCGCGCCTGAATCCCATGCTCACAGTTCCGGATCCCATGCCCATGCCGAAACGAAAGCTCTCCATCAGCGAGTACCGGATGCGCCATCGTCCCTCGGTGGACACGGCTCCGACCACGCCCACAACACCCACCACGCCGACAACACCCACCACGCCAACGGGCACGGGCAAGGATCGTTGCTTCGCCAAGCCGCAGACCATTAACAAGTGCTCACTGCAGTCGCCGGAGCGCTACCAGGCGGCGATTCGAGAGCGGCGTAACTCGATTAGCGCGCATCACCATCCACAGCAAAACGTAAGCCTAAATCTGAACAACAACAAGAGTAGTTGCATCAACAGCAAGGGCGGAACGAGCAGCGGTAATCATTTGCAGCAGGCGTTGGGCGTTAGGATGCCCATCAAGAATGCGATTATTGATCCGGCGGCCACCACCTTGAGCACGGTGAACAGCATCCTGAGCACGGCTCAGAAGCTGCACATGTTTGATGACAAACCAAAGGGTGAGTAAACTCTTGCTCCCCTGTTATGCACTCCTTCTAAACTTAGTCGCTCTTCTGCAGGTGGCCACTTCAATGCCGCACCCACACTACTCGAGCAGCAGCAGGAGAAGATGAGCGAGCGATCGCGGTGCTTGCAGCGGACCATTTCTTGTGACTCGCGGGTTATCGAGCGATTGGGCTCAGGCGCAGCTGCTAGTGCCTTGGAGAAAGTGACCACGGCAGCAGCCAGGCGGGATGGCTTATAAAATGGTGAGTGATCATGCAGAGATCTCCAAACGCTAAAGACATTTCTAATCTAGTTTCTATTTGCAGTAAACCAAACAACAAACGGATGATAACCAAAAAAACTGTTTTCCAGTTTTAAAACAACAATGCAATACAACATCAACGAAGGCCACTAAACAGCAGATTGATTCCAATTTTCTCTATTAGATACTCGCGCTTTCCTTAACCAAACATCAAAAACTACCCGTTCTTTTACTTTAAACGCTAAATTGTAAAGAAGAAAATTACAACGCGCATATAGTATGGGCAGCATAACTGTAATATGTTGTCGATTGAGGTGAGAAAAGACGATGCAATCAATGTACATTACAAAAAGGAGAAGAAAATTTGCATAGCAAAAAAATTGGGATTTCTTGAAGTGGAAGATAAAAGTTCTACTAAACTACTTAGTTATTTAATAGTATCGTTTTTGTCACAGCAAACAAGCCGCTTAAATTACTTACAAGCAACAAAAATACCATATATATGCACATGTATATGCTAAACACCTATAAATAGAGCCTATGTAGCGCGATATAAGCATAAACTTACATAGCACATAGAGTACAGAATAGGCAGCCAAAATTGAAGTTATAAAGATGTTAGAAAGCACTCTTGGACGGTTAAGTAATTGAATATGTATTTTTAGTTCTTAAGTTCATTCAACCTAGAGAACAGTTTCGTTATAACAATTACAGAGGAGCCTAAAGTAGATGCAGGGAGTATCCATCTGTACATAATTTAATTTGTGTAACTTTCGTTTAAATTTGGAAATACTTGTAATCGTAGTAATAAAAGAAAAAAAAAACTATATTAAAACCAGTAAACTACAATATTTACCCAGAAAAAAATACAAATCAGCCAGTCTTAAAAATGCAAGCAATATTAAAAATCCAATAACTAGAAAGAGATCTTGGCAAATAATATAAAATCAAAAACGCTATCAAGACCAAGAAGACAGAATCCGGGACTAAAATCAATGTATATAATAGTTTTAAATATCCAAAAGCAACCAAAAGGAGAAAACAAAAAATACTTGTTATCGTGTTAGGCAAGTAATGTAAGTTAAAAAGAGTACAAAGCGAGGGTTAATTGAATGAAATTAAGCTAATCGAACGTTAAAATAGTGTAAATAGAGGCAAAAACAGCAAGTTTCCGAAGCCATTTTCGTAATCAGACGTACTTTTATTTTGTATCTTTCCCGAATTTTCCGTAAAATATAATAATCACAAATTATTTAGTAAAATACTATTGCAAAATTCAATATAATTTGTATAGCTTGTCACTAGGTTTATTCTGATTAATGCTCACCGAGGGATGTGTCCAAATGCTTAATTTGTTCAGTAATAAATTTCTTGACCGTTTTTGATGCATTCCTTGTTGCAGCATTTTTCTGTTGTACATTTAAAGAAAATCCTAATTTGATTTCTTCCAAGACATGAACACAAAATTTAATTTGGGTTGTTTTAAAATCCAATAAACTAAAAAAACTCATTTTGACCCTGTGAAAAAATTATTTGACGTAATCAATTCAGATAGAATTTGTTACTGATGATAGCTGACACCCAATTATTTATAAGTTGGAAAGGTGTTCACAAATCTGTTTTAGGGAAAATATGGGAAATTAGTATACATTTAACTTTGTACATATGCAATTTTATTTCTTACATTAACCATTTAACCAAATTATGCAGGTGGTCTTTGGCAAAGCGCTCTTTGAGTTTAATTTAGTTTTTATTTTTGTAAATATGCATATGCCACATTAATTATGTAATCGAATAAGTGTAAAATATTTAACTGGATTCTACTAAGCTGATTTTATGAAACGTATGTTGTTACTTTTTTTTTAGCGCTGTACAATACAAACCAGACCTATATTAAACCTATTTAAAGTAACTTAAAAAATATAAATATGGATGAAAAGTTCGTAGTTTTCGTAATACAGTTTTTGATAGTTCTAGCATAAAACGCAAACGAAATTATTTATACCTTATTTGAAAGAAAAATACCTACTCGTAATAATTTTTACTCTACACCTAGATTCTTTGTAAGTGCGAATTTGAATTGTAAGTTTAAGAATAGTGGTTTTAGCCATAAGGTACCTTGGTTTAACTGATGTAAATTAAATACGTTAATTGTTTACTAAACACAAACACAAGCATGCCTAAAGAAGAAGGCAAATAAGCTTCGTCTGTAAAATACATTACAAATGAATTCATAAGATTCTTTAACAATAAACAAAAAACCGAAAAACAAAAATAAAACGAAAATAAAATGAAAATAAAGAAATTGATTTTTAATTACGACCCTCAACTTTTAGGTATTCGCTCGCTTAACAATTGGTACCTGGTAAGTTGAAATCCAAATATATAAGATGACGCCGTAATAAACAATAAACAATCAATTTCTGCAAATTCTTTAAAAAAATTAAACACAAAGTAGAAAAAGCGTGACATCATTAAATTTTTAAAAAACTGACCCGAATTTACAAATTAACATTTAAACCCAGATTCTTGGAATAGACCACAAACTTTTAGAGTTATGCCTTTTCAAAATCGAAAACCTGTCATAAAAGTTATGGCCTTTAGAAGTAGTGCACTTTTATGAAAACCCAATCGTTGAGTCTGCTTTTAGCTAAAAAAAAATGCAGCGCAAACGAAAAATTCGTATTCCTGAAAAATAAAGAAGCCATTTGCACAGATAACTGTAAGTTATCGTCGGATGAAATAAACACAAACACTAATGTTTATATTGATTTTTGAGTTATGTTATTTTATTTCATACACTTCGTACAATGCCTAACTAAAATTAATATTAATTCGGAAAATATTGGCTTTACCTATGTATATGAAAAGTTCTTAAAATTCTAATAGCCGACAATATAAATTTCTGTGAAACATTTCGTATACTCTAAGAAATATATGTATGTGTATATTTTTTTGTTATTTTTGTGACTGCCTAAGGGTAATGGTTCCTGAACCTACAAAAATATATATAAAATGATTGTATTTATTTTGTATCCTATCACTAATTAAGGTAGTTCTTTTGTTACATGCTACATCATAATTTCTATAGACATCGGTCCGGTCAAACATTGCTTTATGTATACAAAAATTTAATATGGTCCACAACAATAATCATCATGCTGTTTGATATATGGATCGCCTCTATTTAAATATAGAATCTATTTTTGTGTTATTAGCAGATTGAAAAAAGTAAGATTATTCTCTATTATTAGAAATATGTACAATTGAAAGTGAGTTAGTGCAAAGGCTAAGAAACCGATAAAAATTGATTATTTTAAAATAGAGGGATGCATTACCTATTACTCAGACCGATATGACGATGTGCCCAAGACCCTACATGCATGCCCATATGAATTGACGAATTCTGTGGACTAGTTTCGTGTTGATGTGTATCATAAGAAAACGGGGCAGGCTAGAAATAATTGCCTAAGTCGGCCAATTACACTTTTTAAAGTGGCTCTCTGTCATGCTCCTCTTACATACTTATATAACAGCTCGCATAAATTCTTTTGTGAATATATAATGATCTAAATATCTTATCTCAGCTCTACAGTAACCAGAACACACGGCGCTAGGACTTGTTACTGTTGCAGCTATTGACATTGTTGTTGTTATACAAGTAGGGTATCAGGTTGGGCTCAATCTCCAGCTGCTGCCTAAGTATCGAGCTCATGACGAACTCCGTGGACACAATGTGGCATTTTGGGTTCCCGTGCCGCGTGAGATCTGCGCAAAGATGCATGTCCGTGGGACAGGTCACTATGATGTAGGAGTCGGGCGCCTGAATGTGTGTTTCCGCCACAGCGCTACCGGTTCTGCGTTTTGCTTCCACTTTACCACCAGACGATTCAATCATTCGGATAATTTCCTCGCGGGCTGGGAACACGTCCGGCGTAACGTGAAAGTATTTCCCCGAAAACAGCGTGGAACGAGTGGGTGCGCACAGAACAGTGTTCAAATTGAATTGTAAGTTCTCGTCCACCGGTATGTGCTGGATGCGATACGGGTCGGTCGGCACAAATTTACCAGCCTTTGCACTATCCGCAATCCAACTTGACTTGAGCACAAAGTCCACATGGCAGCAGGCCTGAATCAGTTTGCAGGTACGACTCTCGCGTGTCATTACCAGGTGAGTGGCATCTGCGGGGCTGTCCACCACAATTCCACCCAAAATTCTAAAAAAAAAAAAAAAAAAAACAATTGCAAGGATAAGTAAAACTAAAAGTTTTAGCTAATATCAAAATATTTCAACTTTACTTACAACACTGCCTTTTTAAGTGCCTCCGCATCGGCAACCTGGGAGAAAATAACCTTCGGCGGCTTAGTGGTTGTGGGATATTCAAGGCAGACAATTTGTTCTGGAAGCTGCTCCTGCTGGAATGAGTTCATCTTCTGGCGCTTCAGTTTGAGCTCGTTGCCGTACGGATCGGAGAGATGACGCTTGACTCGCTCGTGTGCCTCCTGGGTGAGATTAATGGGCGCTTTCCATGCAGCTAATAGGGGAAAATGCAAATAAGTATATTAATAGAAGAAGGCATTAGTTGAGCTTCTACTTACTTAGCAGATGCGCCACCAAGTTGCATTCGATGCGGAAGGGGGGGACTAGATTGTACTGCTGGTACTTGGGATTGTCGTACTGGGAGAGGCCACTCAGGTTGCCGATGCAGACGTCGCTCAGCCAAAGGGCATTGACCATCGGGATGTTCCACTCCTTGGCCGCGTTGAACTTGTTGCCCTCGAGCTGCTTGCACACGACCACAGTGTTCACCTTGGACAAATACGAGGTGTAGATGGCTCCGCATTCCTCGGCCATCTGCTGTAGCCTCACGACCTCCTCGCCCTCGAATCCCTCAGAGGTAACGATGTAGCGTTCCAATGGCTTCCGATAGCCAAACTGGCTGGGGAATGGCAGATGAAGTGGCTGCCAGGGCGGCATCAGCTGCCGCTTGAGGCAAATATCACTTAGCCAGTAGGCGGTGACGCATCGCTTGGCATCCCGTAAAGCCTGCATGACCACGCCGTGCCGCTGGGTACGGCAGATGACGTGCGTCACCCGGGGACAGTAGACGCGTTCGATGTCACCGCCAAACTGCCTGATCGTATCAAGCCAGATGGGGAGCTCATCGCCGTCTGTTTCGTCGTATTCCACGATATAGAACGTACAGCCCACCAGAAACAGATCCGCGGGCAATTTGAGGTTCGGATTGTGACCATAGAATTGTGGCATCGGTGGCTGCCCGGTACGGGTTGGAGTGTAGCTGTGAGGTGTCCGCTGCACTGGCATTCCCACGCCCACACCCACAGCCATCTGTTGCTGCTGCTGCTGCGGCGACTGTGGCGGAGCGACCACGATCTGCTGTTGGACCAGATGCTGCTGCAGTGGCTGCTGTTGTTGTGGTACGGCAACCACTCTACGCATTTGCTGTTGTTGCAGCATTTGTTGCTGCTGTTGTTGCTGCAACATCAACAACTCCTGCTGCGTTCGCGGTGGTCCTGGCACACCGGCGGATGCGTTATGTTGCTGGCCCATCATTCTGAGTGCGCCAGCTGCCGACGGCGGCTCCACATGTTGCTGCGGTGGCAGTTGCTGTTGGACGACCATTTGTTGTTGCTGCTGTTGCTGCAGTAACAATTGTTGTTGCTGCTGCTGAATGGCTCCGGTCACAACCACCTGTTGGACAATCTGTTGTTGTTGTTGTGGCTGCTGCTGTTGCTGACCATCGGGTAATTGAATCAGTTGCTGCTGCGGCGTCTGAGCTCCGTTATTTCCCAAGCGGTTGCTCAGCATGTTAGCCAGGGCCGTCTTGGTTTTCAGATTCATCTGTTGCGGTGTTTGCTGTGGCTGTCCGTCGGGAGCTGTTTGCAAAGAATTGGTTACTATTTTTATAATCATTTTATTGGTTTAAAGAACCATTTTTTTTTTTTGGAAAGTTGCTGATCAATTGCTAAGTTTATAATTAACCTTTTCCCAATACACTTTTAAAACCATTTTCTAAAAAATACCCATTGCTCCGAGCAATAGATTGCAGCAAATTGAACTTACTTGTTGAAGTCATGACCAAAGTTTGCGTCATTATGTTGGCATTTCCAGCCAAAACGCCCCCAGCGCCTGGAGTGGTGGGCGTGCCCGGAGTGGACTGTTGCTGCGGCTGTTGAACGATCGTTTGTTGTTCTATCAGCTGTCCGTTGGGTCCAGTGATGAGCTGCACCGTTTGCTTGCCCATTTGCTGAGGCCCCTGTTGCTGGATGGGAATCTGCTGGACGCGCAACTGTTGGCGCTGCATCAGCATTTGCTGGTTAGGATCATTTGGATTGAAGGGTTGTTGTTGCGGCGACTGTTGCTGCTGTGGCGGTCCCACTCCCGGTTGCTGCTGTATCGGACTCAGGCCAGGAGTTCCGGCGCGCACAACAACCTTACGTTTCCCTTGCTGCTGCTGCAGCCAGAGTACCTGTTGCTGTTGCGTCAATCCCGGTGGCATTTGGTGTTGAACAATAATGTGGCCGGGCGGAACGGGACCGGCCGGTCGCGTGGTGACTATGTTGCCCGGGGCTCCCGGTCGTGGCTGGTAGGCCACTTGCTGGCGCAACATTACTCGAGGGTTGTTCTGCTGATTCAACTTGGTTATGTACTCGGCACGCTTGTGGGCATCCAGGGACATAATATGCGCGTGCGTCTTTTCGTCTACCACTATTTTCTGTTGTTGTGGCTGCTGCAGTACCAGCTGTTGTTGTTGCGCCACCTGTGTCTGTTGCTGATGTTGTTGTTGCTGTTGTTGGGGTGGCGGTAGCACGATCTGCTGTTGTTGCTGAGGGGGTTGCGGTTGCTGTTGTTGTGGCTGCCCGGGCCATGAGGTTTGCGGGCGCAGTCCACGCGGAACAAATTGTGGCTGTGTTTGTGGCTGCTGCTGCGGAGTTGTTGGTCCGACGGGCAACGGTGATTGCATTCCCACACTACTAGTGGGTGTTCCCGGAGTGCTGGGCGCCATCTGACCGCCAGCAGGACTCTGGGGTGACCAGTGCTGCTGCTGCATTTGATGGTGTTGCGGTGATTGCTGCTGTTGCTGCAGTAGGAGCTGTTGTTGTTGTGGGGGAGGCGTGCGTTGCGGCAGTTGTTGCTGCGTGATGAGCTGCATTATTTGCTGCTGTTGCTGCTGGGGATCGTTGGGAAGCTTTTGCTGCAATATCTGCTGCTGTTGGGAGGGTTGCTGTTGTTGAATAAGTATTTGTTGCTGTTGTTGCGGTGGTCCCACAAGCTGTTGCTGCTGTTGTTGTTGTTGTTGTTTTTGCATCAACTGCTGTTGTTGTAGGTACTGCAAGCGCTGCGGATCGCTAAGTATCTGCTGGTTAACAACAATCTGTTGCGGCTGCTGTTGCATTTGCATACGTTGCTGTTGTTGCTGCTGCGGTATAATCTGCTGCTGCTGCAACATTTGTTGTTGTTGCACAAGTTGCTGTTGCGTCTGATTGACTACATAAACGTTTTGGCTTTGCGGATTCTGCGCGAGAATTTGTTGTTGCTGATGCGCGCTAAGCTGATTAAAGTGCTGCTGACTAATAATAAAGGTTTTTTGTTGTGGATGCTGCTGTGACTGCTGAACTCCAAGGATTTGCTGCTGGAAAACGAAATAAAGTGTTATAAATGGTTTTATCCTAAAAATAAAAAACACATCTTACGATCTTATGAATGAGTTAGCGTACCTGCTGAGGCTGTTGTTGTTGCAGTTGCTGTTGCTGTGGAAATTGACTAATAATCTGTTGCTGTTGTGAAACCTGTTGCTGTTGCTGCACATTGGTTGGTGGTCTCTGAATTGTTTGTTGAATTATTCGCACTTGACCGCCACCGCCAAGCGCGATTTGTTGTTGTTGTGTAAATTGAACTTGTTGTTGTTGTGGGTGCTGCTGTGGTAGCTGTTGTTGTTGTTGCGATGCCTGGGGAAGCTGTTGCTGTACCTGAGTAAGCTGTTGTTGTTGTTGCGGCTGCTGTTGCGTTTGTTGTTGGACGTGCAACATTTGCTGCTGTTTTTGCAAGGCCAAAGACATATGGCTCTGAATGATTTGTTGACCTTGGGCTGTGGATGTGTTAATGACGTGCCGCTGGGTTATGACTTGTTGTCCAGGTTGAGGTTGTTGCTGAGCCAAGACTTGTTGTTGCTGCTGTTGTTGCTGCTGCTGTTGTTGTTGCTGCTGCTGTTGTTGTTGCTGCTGCTGTTGTTGTTGTTGCTGCTGCTGTTGTTGTTGTTGCTGCTGCTGTTGTTGCTGCTGTTGTTGTTGCTGCTGTTGAATTTGCTAAAACCGAATGGTAATTAATTTCCGCAGGTAAATCAAAAATTTTGAAAACTTACTTGAGGATTTTGTGGTTGTGTCTGCTGTTGTAGGGTAGGCGTGGTGGGTTGTTGCTGCAGCGGAGATTGTCGCGGTGACGGGGTGTGTTGCTGTTGTGGTTGTTGCTGCTGGGGTTGCTGAGGTATTTGTTGCTGCTGTGGTTGTGGTGCCATTTGTTGCTGCTGTTGTTGCAACTGCTGCTGCTTCAGTTGTTGTTGCCTCATTATCAACGAGTCTTGATTGCTACTCAATGCTGAACGACTCAATACCTGAGCCACCTGAACAGGATCCGTGGGATCAATGGGTTTCTGTTGAGAGAATGATTGTTGCGGCTGGGCGGTATGTCCTGGAACAGCCTGGTGCTGATGGAGTTTGGCTTGCATTGGTGGGGTTTGTGAAATCTGGGGTGACTGGGGAGAAATATGCTGTGGACTCTGCTGCTGCTGCTGTTGTTGCTGGGCCAATTGTTGCTGCTGCTGCATTTGCATGCGCTGTTGCTGATGTACGGGCTGTTGGAAGGGTTGCATTTGTTGCTGTTGCTGCGGAGACATCAAAGAAGGCGGTTGTGGCTGCTGCGGAGAGCCCATCATGTGCTGTTGGCGACTCTGCTGCATTTGTTGTTGTTGCTGCTGGCGCATATGTTGCTGCTGGGCGCTTTGCGGCGAGGGCGGTGGTGGTGGTGTCATCTGTGGAGCCGGCGATTGTAGTTGTCGCGGTGACTGTGGTGGCAACATGTTGCTGGTGGCATGGTGTTGTTGCTGTTGCAAGGATGGTGACGGCGTACTTGGCGGCATCACCGGCGAACGGTTTTGCACCATCCGCGGCGACTGTTGTTGCAGATTTTGCTGCTGCTGTTGCTGCTGCTGCATTTGCATCTGTAATTGTTGTTGCTGCTGCAAAACCTGTTGTAATTGCTGCTGAATTTGTCTCTGTTGTTGCTGCTGTTGTGGGGTTAAAGCTTGTCCGCTTTGAACGATTTGCTGCAATTGCATTTGATTCTGGTTCAAAATTTGTTGCTGCCGCATAAGGTGTTGGTGTATGACTTGCGGAGAAACGGGCACAGATTGTTGTTGTGGTTGTTGCTGCTGAACTTGTTGCTGCACTATTTGCTGAACTATTTGCGGCTGTTGCACAATAGTTTGTTGTTGACCCACTTGTTGCTGCACCACCTGTTGTTGTTGGACTATTTGTTGGTGATGCTGAGGGGACTGGACGGGCTGCGGTGTTGTCGATGGTGTTCGTGGTGTCTGGCGACCTGTCGGAGTTGTTGGCAGCCTAGGCGACTGTTGTTGTGGGTGCTGCTGTGGAAGTGGCTGGGGATGCGGTTGAGGTTGCGGCTGTGGAAGCTGCTGTGGATGTACCTGGGCATCCTGCTGCATCAATTGTTGCTGCTGCTGAATCATTTGAATTTGTTGCTGTTGCTGTGTGTTTTTTATCTGCCTCTGCTGCTGTAGTATTGTTTTAATCTGTTGCTGATTCGGTTGTTGCTGCTGCAGATTTCCGGGAATAATCTTCTGCTGCTGAATAATTAATTGCTGTTGATGCTGCGGGTGTGGAGGTGGAGCCGGTACCTGAGACCCGCCTTGCTGCAACTGGTGCGGCGCTTGTTGCGGTGCCTGCTGGGCTTGCGGCTGAGGTCGCACAAAGACCACCTGTTGCTGGGCGGGCAATTGTTGCTGCTGGATTTGTTCCGCGGAAGCTTGCAGCTGGGACTTAATGCTAGCTATGCTCTTGGCCGCCGCACTGTCCTCGCCAAAGCCCAGGATGTCCGACAGTGTGGATGTAGCAGATGTCTGCTGCTGCATTATCTGCTGTTGCTGCTGTTGTTGTTGCTGTTGAAGCTGTTGTTGTTGCAGCTGCTGCTGATGTTGCAATTGTTGCTGCTGGATTTGTTGTTGCTGAGTGGCCGTCTGCTTCTGCGTTCGCTGCTTTTCAGTGGGCTTCAGTAGCCTGGGATGATACGTCTCTACAGGCATGCAGTTTTTGTACTTAAGGCTGTCCGTCACCCAGTCGGGAGTCACAATGATGATGGCATTTTTGGGCAGCGCCAGCGCCTTGTTGTAGATGCCACCATTGGCCGCTCCGCATACCAGATGCGTGTTAGTGGCCCCAAAACTATGCGTAACGACGGCACCATGGTAGGTCAGCATGGCGTAGAGGCGCCTCCGATCTCCGGCCACCACATTGGTGATGGCCGCCCTAATGCCGCGCATGAGACGCATCTGATTGGGACTTGGATCGAAGGCCCGTGTGGAGGCCATTCGGCCCAGTTTTGCGCTGTGCACGATCCATTGTTCGGTCACGGGAATTGCACTGTAAAGGTCCAGATTCAGAGACAGCTCCTCCTCGTTGTAGTTGGTGGCGCATATCATATGCGTGATCTGGTCCGACAGAAAGATCTTAGATTGGGCGCCACCGCTCTTGAGAAAACGTTCGATCTGCAAGGGGAAATAATAAGTTTTAATATCAAACAAGAAAATTTATAAAGTAAATATTAATTTTTCTTTTAGTGTCCGGTCTACCACGTATTTTATTCATTATTGGGATGCCTATGAAGCACAGAAATAAAGTAAACAAGCTGATTCGTCCAATTTTAAAACTGAGAACTCAAATATAGTATGAGCAATCTCCTTTTACAGCAAGCTAAAGGATATTAAAACTCTAATTTTCATTCACAGCAAAAAACCAAAACAAACTCAGTTGATTTGAGCACCAATACCAATACGAACTCAAATAAACGCACAGACACGGGGAGGCGGCAATTTGCCGGCAACATTTATGGCGCGCATTTGCCGTGGTGCCCGGGTCACCCCGTCCACCCGCACTCGAAACACCCTGTGCGGATGAACACAGACGCACGCACTCTACACACACATACACAATGCAAGTACAGCAACAGCGAAGGATTATTTTCGCAGATTTACCTCTTCGTCCAGGTTTCCCATTACAAAGTAGATCACATCCTCAAACAGTTTGTCGCTTATCTTGAGGTTCTCCATGGCGCCGCCTCACTATTGAGCACTTGCACTTCTTTGGCGGCGCTAATTTCACTTTTGCTTTTGTTATTGCTGCTGCGGCGGCTGCTTGTGGGCATCTACATTTCAGCGTGTTTTCCTTTCTCGGCGCGACTTCAAGCCGTTCGCGAACTTCTGATGTCGGTGGGCAATGCAGTGCACAACCTGAAGTGCATTTCTATTGCAATTTAATACGGAAAAATTGCATTTAAATTTGGCTTTTTCTCGTTTATTACCGCTGAGCCTTCCACCAGTATGATCGCGGCGTGACTGTAAAAAATTACTGAGTTCTCTCAAAAATGTACTAAAATATACCATATAAATGAAGGTTGGAAACTCTGATAACTTTAACGGTGATCCAAACTCCGCTAATGCCCGCTTTACTGTGGGCCAAAAAGTACATTTCTTCGCCACAAAGCAGAATGTACAATTACATCTCTAAATCAACTAAATGCTAATTTTCTGTTTTCCTGTCAAGGCAAAAAACACTATCCTCTTTTCAAACTGCTTTGAATTTTTATCTAGATAAGCAATTCTTAAAAACCATAGAACCCACAAAACTGTTTTCTTTTTGCTGATTTGAGTTGCTTGCCGGCCGATTTGAATAACAAATTACCAGATTCGCTCATCCGAATGTTTTCAAGCTAATTAGGCGCATTGCCACTCAGGCACTTATCATTTAGGTAAACATTTGTATGGCACATCTTCCGATTCAGTTGTTAGGTTAGCGCCCCAGGAAATAATCACACTTATTAGTAGTACGTACGTACGTTTATTTTATCTCTGCTTGATTTACAAATTTATTTTAATTCGACCATTTTGACTTTAGCATCAAACATTATACTCTGCAAGCAGCAGCGACCTATCAAATGTTTAGAGAAGTTCCGTCTACTGCTTATGATTGGGAACTCTTTAAAAATTTAAAAATGTTCCATGCAAAACGAAATTATTTTTAAAACTTTAAGACAAAAGTAAATTATAATTAGTTGAGGGAATCCCAGCAATGTACGAGAACGGTATAGGTATGTGTTTGTGGCTGGCTCCAACTTAAATTTATTATGCTCGTAATACTTACAGCTACGTACGATCAGGGTAAGTTAAGTTAATATTACAGAAATATAGATTTATATAACTGTTGCAATAAATTTCGCGCTGCTCGGTTCGCCATCTACGCTTCCCCGGCCTGAGAGATGGACTGATGACGGGATCTTGAGATTGGCTGGTGCGGTTGGCGCTTAGATTTAACGGGGTAACGGATCGAGGAGCTTCAAATTCAGGTTAAACGTTCGCGAAATACCTGCACAATCCGGCAGCAGCCATCTTAGCATTAGGGTTTTCTTTAAAATTAGGTATAGAGCATTTGAAGTGGGAACGGGAAACTGGCTGCAGTTGAGGTTGTGAATATAGTAGGTGTAAGTAAATTAGGTGAGTAAATTAGCTCGTCGCTGGGAATTTGTTGCAGGGTTGGATGATCGAGGTCTTGCGTGCCGGCACGGTTTCGGGCGTGGGAATGGCCTCCCCGGTGGGCACCTTGTTGGCAAAGACCTGCTTAACGCTGCCACCCTTCTGCTTGGCCATCTGGTAGTCGCCCGAGTCGAAGAACTTTTGCTGCGGGGAAAAAATTAAGTTACATGTTTGAGCACGGTTGGTCAAATGTCCAAGGCATTTTCAATATTTTCCTTTATTTAATCAATCTAAAAACTTTTGCAAATCAATTTTAAAATTTAAACCTATAAATCCCATTTCTTATGGGATTTTTTGACAATCGTTAAGATGATGTGGGAAATATAGAATCAAATTGACAGCAACGCTTTTTAGATGTTTAAAAAAGATATCGATTCAGATTAACAAGGACAGCTAATCAACTATACTATAGTTATTGATTTAGGGGGAAAATAAGAACGCGGGGGGTCATAAGCACTCACCCTCTGCAGCCTTTTTTGGAGGAAGGCCGAGTGACCGCCCGGCACTCGCATTCCACTGGGATACTTGGACTTGAGCTTCTCCTCCTCGATCTTCTCGAGATCCGTGAGGTTGACATTCTCAGCGGTCTCGTTGTCCTGGGGCGTGGTGGCCTGGCTGTTGCTGTTTTCCTCCGCGGAACTCATTGTGGACTGTCTTTTTGGGGGCAAAGGCAAGTGAGAGATTGAGGTTAGCCAGGATACGAAAATGGTGACATGGGAAATGTGGGGGCAATGGGAAAACGGAATCAACGGGGCAACGGATTTTGGAGGCGCGCAAAATGCCAAGATAAAATTGCATTTCATCACACACACACAAACGCACACTGGCAAGCAAATCCAGGGCAGGCGCACGCACACTTGCTAATATATGGACGCGAAATATAATAGTAATAATCGGATGTGCAAATATTGCTTTAATTTTTTATATATACTCATACGCAGACGATAAGGCGTATGTGTGTGTGGATGTTTGTACATAGATTTGTGTGCAAGGCGTAGTTGCTCACCTTTTGCCTGTAAAATTTGACGATTAACTGTTGTTTTCCTTCTTTTGTTCTTCACCCTTCTACTGCTTATGCGTCTTCTTCCCTGGAATCGAATCGGTTTTGCTTTGCCAATTAGCGTGCCGAATTAGCAAAGCGCACTGCTATTCGCAACCAATTGGGGGAAATGCTCTCGAGAACAACTAAATCCGGCTGTTACACGATATTTATATATGGAGTGACGGAAATTCTCAAGGCGACTCAAAAGTAAAATTATTTTAACACTTTACAGACGCGCTGGGAGATGATGCAAGCAGTGTGACCGCAGTTCGACCGTTAAACATGACGTTAGAGATGTACTAAATGATACCACAAAAGAACTTGGCTATTCGGTGGAGAACTTTGGTAAGGGGCTAGCAGTGACTTAAGCCGATGGGGCATAAACCATATATTGTTTAATAAGTTTATTTTATGTTAAGACTTTACGCTTTATACAAGTATTATCATTTAATGTAAACTATAAACTAAACTATATTCTATTTATGTATTATTTTTGATTAAATTAATGCAAATAAAAACTTTTAAATTAAATGTTAGTACTCGTTTCCTGTAAAATATTATATACAGTCCCAAAACTTTACAAACCTCTTAAAAATGTAAACAAACTACAAATATTTACCGGAAAACATTCAATCTCGATACTATCGCGATAGTTTAAGGACCATTGATAGTGCCATCGCTTACTTAAAAGCACAACCAAAAAATAACAAGCGGAAAAAGGGCGATAAATACGACTGATAAGAAAAGTACTAGTAGCCGGGCACCGGAAAGTCAGTGATAAAATTCCTTGGGGTTACAGACTGGCGGGAAGGATACAAAGGACGAGTGATCACACAAACCACGCCCACAATGACTGCGTTGCGTTATATGGGTTGGTTGACCGGCTGCTCCGTCTTCACAGCATTCGTGTCCATCATTTGGCAGGCGTTCATATCGTTGCAGTCGCTCAACAGAACGACTGTCCTGCTCACCGGCCTGCTGGCCATTGAGGGGTAACTTTATATTGGTTCTTATTCTGACATTACTTATCTATCTGTCTAAATGTTTAAGGTCCCTCAAGCGCCCCGCTTTTCAACCGGCGCCCAAAGTGGCCATCGGATACGGAGCCTGCACTGACTTACAGATCAACGCCACCGAGTTTCTGGAGCGCTACTACAGCCGACGCATCCCGGCAGTCACTACAGGATCCCGGGAGATTGTCAACAATGAGGACGAGCTACTGCAGTCCTTTGCCTATTACTTCCAGAACGGTGCTGCAGCGGAGTAAGTGGAGATAATCAATGGTAGACCAGGAAATTAGGAGTAGCATCTTATTATCATATTTATTTATAAGTACACGAAAGAGATCAACCATTTATAAATTACTTAGATTTAAACCTTAACTAGAAATGGTTATTTTATATCTTGGCATAATTTACCCATTAAAACCTTATGTTTATTCCTTCAGGCGTGTAATGGCAAACAGTACTCTCTTCAAACAATTGGTGGGATACGCCAAGGTGATGGATAAGGAGCGGATCCAGTGGTACATGGGTGGCAACGCCCCGCTGATGGCTGTGCGCTTCTTTATGGAGGGAGCTGAAGTGCTACTGGGCGCCCACATGTCTAAAAAGTATCTCCATCTATAAACTCAATGTGTTTTGAAACTCATTGCGAAATCTTCACCAGATTGCGTCCGCTGTTGCCCAAGGAGATCCGTCTGGCAGGCGACGAGATTCCAAACGATGACATACACCTTATTCTGGAGTACAAGGCCGGCGACACATGGGGCTCGTATGTGGCGCCCCGCGCCAATCGCTACATCCTGCACAACGACCGAAATAATCCGCATCTGAGGGCCGTGGAGCAGTTGACGGATGCGTTGAAGGTGTATCACCCGCAGCTGCTGGTTGTAAGCGGACTCCAAATGATGGACATGTTCTCCTTTAATCCTGGCGAGCGAGAAGCGCGTCTGCAGCAAGTACAGAGGCAGTTAACTAGCCAGCCGGCGGACACTCTAAACCACTTCGAGATGGCCTCGTACGTGGAGTTGAAGCTACTGCAGCAGCTGCGGAGTTTTGTCTTGCCCTTTGTGGACTCATTGGGTATGAACGAACAGGAGCTTTCCAATCTGCAGCAGGTGTTGGCCTACGGACGGACTACCCTGGCAACGGATTGGAATCCCCGCATTGCCCACACCCTCGACCAGATGCGGCAGGTGTTCATTAGCATGCTTGAGGACTACAGCGACCGAAGCTCTGGCGATCCAAGGCGGCGTCGTATCTCGCGGATCCACGTGCACACTTTGGCCTACCAGGCCATCCTCACTACAACCGGATCCAAGTGGAAGAATACCCGGGCTGCAGCTGCCAAGGCGGCTCTCACTGCTCACCGATATGTCTGCAAGTCCCAGTTTGTGAGTCTTTTAATTTTGTATTATCTACATATTCCTAGCAAACATATTTTTCATGAAGATAAAATCTTTTTTTATTGTTATTCGTAATCTTATCTATTTGTATGTTTGTTGAATGTTTATATTTTTCTTCCGAAGTTGTTCTTTTCACTTTCTCACTGGTTATAATTGAATCCTTTTTTACAGATTAATCCAGAGGCAGTCTTACAGGTACTAGACGATAGTTTCGCCACCTCGGCGCAGACTGATGCGCCTCGCATGCGAATTGGGGCTGCCAGTCCGGTGCCCTGCTGGCGGGAGTATATCGAGTACGGTCGCCAGCGGCAACGGCTTGAGGTGGAGATTTGTGTGGCCCCAGTGCTGGTCTGTCGCGAGGCGAGGAAAACAGCCGGAGCGGGCGACAACATTTCCGCTTCCGGATTGGCGGCACAGTTGTAGAAGCGACGATTACAACGGATGATCGGATGAGACTGCATAGCATTATACTAGAAACCTGCAATCCAAGACTCGAATAGAAGGCCAGGACGTAACCCCGAAGCATTCCCCCCGCTGGATGGACATGGACTCGGCATGTTTAGCACCTTAGTGACCTTAGAAACGCGTTACCTTCACAGAAATCTGACGAAAATGCTCAAGCGATAGCACCAAGAAAACAACGAGTCCCATAAGACTACATATCCAGATGAGTTTTTAACGGAAGTGCTGATTCCTGCACTTGTCCTCTCATCATCAACGTATATATTCCATGTGTTCAAAATTATTCCTAATGCAACAGCATCGAAGTTCGGAAACGAATGCCACCTAGTCCTAAGTTTTGTTAGTCACTAAATCTATGTTTTGACATTTTTGAGCCATTCCTACTTACAATTTGTTTCGCGCACTTGGTTTCAAACTCAAAAAAAAAATGCGGCAAATAATTAAACAGGCTTTTCCGCACTGTAAAATTGTTGTTAACGTCTCAGCCTAAAGTGTTTAATCTCTCTTTATATTTTAATATTCGTCTCTTTACCACAAAAACATTGTGATGCACCTAAATTGGACCTTTAAATTTATGTTGTCCCCGTAACACTAATCCTGTGTTACACTACCTCGTTTTTACATGTATGTTTGTAATCTCCTAAAAATGCTATTAAATTAAATTAATGCTACTCAAAATTCATTTTGCACACTTTGTTTAAAAATAATCAATGTGCAGTGCGTTTGCAGACCAAAAAACCTATTTTAGTCAGGACTTTTGCGATCTCCTATGTTTTGATACCCCTGAAATTCGGCACACAAACAGCCTTTTCCACAACTGTCTTACAACTGCGAAACGCACTGTTTAAACACACATTTACACATATGTATATTTTTCTACACTTAAGTATACGCATATAAAACTGGCAAATGTAGAATAAATTCCTGTTAAAAGCTTCAAATTATAAACTGTACAGGCTAATCGCGATGCTTAAGCTCGGACTTGCGGTTCCCACACGAAGCTCCTTGAGGTGCGGTCGCCTGGGAATGGCCAGACTCTCTGTGGACAAGGAAAAGACTGCACTGCATCAGCAGGAGCAGAAGGAGGAGGAGGAGGGGGAGGCGGAGTCCGATTGTCACTCGGCGGAAGATGCTCCCAAAGTAAACCGGAACGAGACGGTGCTATTCAATCATGCCATTCAGGAGTTCCTGCGCAAGCCGCTGGAGGTGCCCACAATAGTCGGAGACGAACCGGTGTATACTATGGATAAGCAGCGGGTCTCTTGTCCGCATCACCTCAAGACGATCCTGGCCCAAGTGTACTACGCCAATCGTAAGCAAATCGAGATGGCCATCAAGTCGGCTCTGTTGACGCAGGGAACATGGAGTCTGGTACCCATTGCCGAACGCCTGGCCATTTGGCGACGGGCGGCGAGCATCATCGAGGAGGATGAGCTGCGTTTGCGAGTCTTCCTGATGTTGACCCTCAGCAAAACCGCCGACGATGCGACGCGGGACATCAGGAGACTGCTTAGCTCGCTGAGGGCCAACGCCGACTATCTGGAGCACCTGTCCGAGCTGCGCTTCGAGATCCAGGGCGACATGAACGTCTTTCCCAGCTTCCACTTACGGCCCATGGATGGCTTTGTGGCTGCCTTGGCCCCATTTGAGTCGGTGGCCTTGTCCGCCAGTTTGGCCCTGTGTCCGGCACTGATGGGCAACACCGTGCTGTGGAATCCATCGTTGGAGGTGGCACCAGTCAGCTTTCTCATCCACCGGGCCTTCCAGGAGGCAGGTCTGCCCAGCGGAGTGGTCAACTTTGTGCCGGCCAACGAGCGTCTGTTTCTGGACACCATCACGGAAGCCGTGCACTTTGCCGGACTGAATTCCCAGGGTAGTGCGGCTGGCTACAGGCATGTCCACAAGCTGGTTAGCGACCGGATGGAGCGGTACATCTGCTTTCCCCGCCTGGTGGCCGAGTGTCCGGGTCAGAATTTCCACTTTGTCCATCCCAGCGCCAAGGTGGAGTCCGTAGTCTCGGCCACCGTGAAGGCGGCCTTCGGATTTGCCGGGCAGCATGCCAACTCGCTTTCCCGCATGTACGTGCCCTCATCTCTGTGGCCGCGCATCCAGGCGGATTTGCTGGAGGCCACGGAGCAGCTGATCGTGGGAGATCCCGTCCAGCCGGAAACGGACGTGGGGGCAATGGTCAATTTGGAAGGATTCCACAGGATGCAGAAGCTCCTGGAGCGCACTATGGACGTGGAGCAGTTGTGCGGTGGCAGTTGCGACGACAGCGTTGGTAGATTTGTTCAACCCACGATTGTCCGGGTGACGGATCCACTGGATCCGCTGCTGTGTGAGCCCTGCAGCGGACCCTTCTTGCCGGTGTTTGTCTACGCCGACGACGCCTTCGGGGAGGCACTTAAACTGGCCGCCAACCAGTCCAGGTACGCGCTCTCCGGCTCCATATTTGCCAGTCGGGACGAGGTGATCCTCCACTGCCTCAACCAATTGCGCATGTGCGCCAGCAACCTCTACGTGAACGAACGTTGCACGGGCAGCAATTACGGATTGACTCCATTCGGTGGCAATCGCCTGTCCGGGACGAACGATAAGACCGGATCCGCTTACTTTCTCATGCGTTGGAGCTCGCCGCTGCTCATCGAGGAGACGGTAGAGGGTCCAGTTCCGTCACAGGGTTCCAGAAACTTTCCCTAAGCTGGTCAGAGAAATTTAAAACAAAAGTAATAAATATACATATTTAGCGGGCATTTGGTGTGACTTTTTCAACAAAGAAAATTATGAACAAAGTTGGAAAACATTTAAAAAATAACGGCAAACATTTTAAATTTTGCATACGATATATCGTTATTTGTTTGACTTATCTAATCCATCACTGATTAGATATCAGTTCGTTCTGATATAACCCTTTTTAATAACAATAGTTTTCGAAACATGCAATACCTTTTGTATTCATTTCATTTTAATGAAGTATTGTATTCTTGGCAACTCAGTGTGTAAACAGTAAAAGTGCTTTAACTTAAATTTGTTTCAGACTGGTGCTGCGACCACTACCGTCAATGCAAATTGGGAACAAAGAAAAAAATTTGCAAAATTATTTTCAAAATATATTGCCTTCATTTGTGTTGATAAACTACTCCAAAATCGCTTAGAACTAATTTACTGAAAATATTGAAAAGCTTAAAAAATGTTGTGGGAACTTTTAATTTGCTCCTCTCTATTTGATAATTGGAAAATATATAGTCGATAGATGTAGCAGGAATATCGATAGTCAATTTTCTGGAAACATCGACTGTATCGAATGAACATCGAATTTGGTTCCAGCTCTAGTAAAAAACGTGCGGTGCCGAGTTGAAATTGCTAGAATTTAATTGATCCCGAAGGTATTTACCCATTATCAGTCAAAACGTGCGTAACTAATCTGCCTCACCACCGATAACTCATTAACTCAAGAAAAACCAAACAAAGTGAGCGTTTTTCCACTTTATTTCTCCTACTGTGTTTTCGCGTGCGAGCGAGAGAGAAGAGCGACGAAGGCCGGACGCTAGAAATTTCCATTCGCAGGCGAAAAGCGAAATCCATAATTAATGTGAATGTGAAAAGCATATATCGAATCGAAAGTTCTGGGCTTGTTTGTCAAACAAAAAGAACAGATAGCAAGCCGACACGTGTGTGCCAGTATACATTTTATCTAATTCCTGTCTCTATCTTTGAATATGTATATTTTGCAGTAGCTGGAAAACAAAGAAAATTCAGCGATCGCGTTGTTCCGCCCCCAAAAACAAACAAAAAACAACTAAAACAGCAGAGACCCAAAAGCGTGTCGGCACTGAATCAATTTAATCGGAAAAGCGGCCAGACGAAAAGGAGGAGAAGAAAATGTCCGTGATTGGCATCGATTTTGGCAACGAGGGCTGCTATGTGGCGGCAGCCAGATCTGGCGGCATAGAGACACTGGCCAATGACTACAGTCTCCGGGCCACGCCGTAAGTACTCCGATGATATTCTCCGGATTATAGCCTAGTTTGTGGTGATAAGCTTGCTGTCCGCATAATCGTTCGACTTTTTCGCCTATTTGGGGTTATGTCGAATTTGTAAGTCATGCCCCGCATGTGTGTGTGTTTGTAAGAGAGCGCGCCTAGAAAATTCCATGGTTGTTATGGGTAACGTTCCGAAAAACATACGTGTATCCAGATATGAGCATTACATTATGTATTAGGTTGACTGGGGAGGCCTAAATTTGGCCGACTGCACTTCCATAAAAAGTGTTGCAAATTGCAATTTTAATGAACACACATCTTTTTCCCCTTTCAACTTATCCCTCTCTTTTCCAATTTATTGGTCTGCCTAAGTATGGGTGCCTTTGATTTAAATGCGTGGGTCCCATATTTCCACTCTTCCACTTTCCCGTACTTGTCCGAATTTACTTTTTTGGCACACCACACTCACACAAATTCATGCCAATGCATGCGTCATGCGGTCAATAAGGCAGCATCAAAGGTGAGAAGAGCGGAAAGTAGCAGCTGTTGTTAAGGGAGAGAGAGAGAGAGAGAGAGAGAGAGAGTACCAAAAGATACGGCAAAAAGAAAAAACGTGTGCAAAGCTGTCAAAAATAAATTCAAAGCCGGCAAACACAGACAGCACACAAGCGCACACTGCCGTATGCAGGCACAGTGGAGCCCGCATTTGTTAAACTATTTTTAATGAGACTTAAATTAGATAAGTGCCAGTTTTTATTAATATAATTTATTTAATTTTTGTTTTCCTAACAGATATTCAAGTTATTGAAAGGTGTCCTTGGGTTAAGTTTTTTATGTTACATTTTGTAACCCCAATATGTTAAGTGATCCTAAATTAGTTGGTTCTTAACCAACTTCTGTCAATTCAAGTAAATCGATTTTAAATTAAATTCTAAATTACTGATATGTTACTCAATTCAAACCGCCGTTATATGTGATCTCCACTGTACTGACATAAACTCGATTTGATGACAATCCCAATAACGGCATTGAATTACGATATTGTAGACTTATATGACCTTCAGAGCCAACCACTAACTGATCATTTTCACCCCTGCCTTCTTGCAGCTCCTTTGTGGCCTTTGATGGCAAGAAGCGGATCATCGGCGTGGCCGCCAAGAACCAGCAGGTGACAAACATGAAAAACACAGTTGGCGGATTCAAGCGCCTGCTCGGGCGCAAATTCAACGATCCCCATGTACAACACGAACTCACGAGCATTCCAGCGCGTGTGGAGGCGCGCGGCGACGGCAGCATCGGCATCAAGGTGAACTACCTGGGCGAGGATCAGCATTTCGGGCCGGAGCAGCTGACGGCGATGCTCTTCACCAAACTTAAGGAGACCTCGGCGTCTGCCATGCAGACGCAGGTGAACGACTGCGTCATTGCTTGTCCCGTCTTCTTCACCAACGCAGAGCGTCGGGCTCTTCTGGATGCCGCCCAGATCGCCGGTCTGAATGTGCTCCGGCTGATGAACGAGACGACGGCCACGGCGCTGGCCTATGGCTTCTACAAGAACGACCTGTTCGAGGACAAGCCGCGCAACGTGATCTTCGTGGACTTTGGGCACTCGTCACTGCAGGCCAGTGCCTGTGCCTTCACCAAGGGCAAGCTGAAGATGCTGGCCAGCACCTGGGACCAGATCGGTGGACGGGACATTGACCTAGCCCTAGGCGATTACTTTGCCAAGGAGTTTCAGGAGCGCTATAAGATCAACGCTAAGACCAATGCCCGTGCCAATCTGCGCCTGCTCACCGAGATCGAGAAGCTGAAGAAGCAGATGTCCGCCAACAGCACCAAGCTGCCGCTGAACATCGAGTGTTTCCTGGATGACATCGACGTCTCGTCGTCCATGCAGCGCTCCCAGATGGAGGAACTGTGCGCCCCCGTCTTGCAGCGCGTCGAACAGACTTTCAAGCGTCTGCTGGCCGAGTCCAAGCTGCAGCTGGACGACATTCACTCGGTGGAGATCGTTGGCGGCAGCTCGCGCATTCCAGCCGTGAAGCAGCTTATTGAGCAGGTTAGTTTAAATTCAGTTTTTTTTACCGTTCCAAGTTATTTAATGATCGATTTCTTGTCGTATATAGGTCTTCAACAAGCCGGCGAGCACAACTCTGAACCAGGATGAGGCTGTGTCCCGCGGTGCGGCCCTTCAGTGCGCTATTATGTCGCCGGCTGTGCGCGTCCGTGAATTCGGTGTCACCGATATTCAGAACTACGCCGTAAAGGTGCTGTGGGACAGCGAGGGCTCCGCCGCTCCGGGAGAGATCGAGATCTTCCCCCAGTACCATGCGTCACCGTTCAGCCGTCTGCTGACAATCAACCGCAAGGGACCGTTCAATGTTTCGATTGTTTATGGCCAGCAGGTGCCATATCCGGATCAAACGATTGGCGTGTGGAAGATCAAGGATGTAAAGCCGACGGAGCGCGGTGAGGGCCAGGATGTGAAGCTGAAGGTGCGCATCAACAACAACGGCATCGTGCTGATCTCCTCGGCCACCCTGGTGGAGAAGAAGGAGTCGGAAGAGGCTGCCGCAGCTGCCGAGCAGGCTGCCAGCGAGGAGAAGCCGGGCGAGCAGGCAAACAACGCTGGCGAACCCACAGATGGCCAACAGGAGGTGAGTCCGCAATCTCCCATCCAAGTCACTCAATCACTGTTTCATCATCTTCTGTTGTCGATAGGGGTTGCTCTGCTGTTGTCGTTTTTGTTTTAGTTTTATTTTACTAACCGCCCTTTCGGCTTACTCATATTAGGTTTAATCTTTTAAGGTTTTTTGTTTGTTTGAATAAGGCCACTTACCTTTGCAATTTGTTGAATCCTTCGTTTAGTTTCAACGTAAGCCCTAACACAGTTCGACCTTTAAAGTATGTGTAAAAAAAGTATGTGTAAAAACACCTCATTTTAGCACAGAAGTTTTTGCTTTTATTTAAAGATTTTAAATTTATCTGTATTCACTTCTTATTATATTTTATGTAAGCTCTAGTTTTTTTGTTCTACAGTTTTGTTGTAGCTTTGCAAACCATCATTATTGTTCATCCCTCCGAAAGAATTTCTGATTGGTGAACTGAATTACTAAGGTCCGTTTTCTCTTCTCAATAGCTCAGCATTCCTTAGTTTACAAGCTATTTAAAGACCACAAATAAAATGACAAAGCGGGCCTTAATCGTATTACCTATTATTTGCCCTTCTTAACGAATTCTTACCTAGCCTCGGTTTTCAATGTCTGGTTAAGAAAGCCTTTTCCAGCGACAGTTTAATTTGGTCATGTTACGAATTTATTTTTGAACAATCAGTGAACGTGATTTATTTCACTGTTTCGGATCTATAAATTGCTCATTAAGATTTTTCGATCGTTACCGTAATCGGAAATGTGAAAACCGGGGCTGGTATCGCTCTTGTTTGAATATGTATAGACATATTTACATACATGAACGTGTATTTGATATAAATCATTCATATATATAAAAATATACCACTCCAATATTTGTTTTTGTTTGTTTTGGATATGTTTGCGAACGCGCGCGTTTTGATCTCTCGTAGGCATATTGTGAGAATGAGGATGATAATAATACATCAACAGCCTCATCACCTGGCGGACAAGGGTGGGCACAGCGGGTCAAGGGCTGGTTTAGTTCGGTACGTTTTCCTCAAATTTCTCAAATTTCAATTCAAAAACAAAACCAACATAAAAAGAAAAACACCAAATAATCTAAATTCTTTGTTCCCATAT